AACTAACACGGTTTCACAGTTTTAGCTTCTCTTGCCTGACTCCATCTTTCCCAGCATCGCCCTCCCTGGCTAAGCAATGTCAGGCTTCTGTGTGGCTCTGCACTCTAGGAGCCCAAGGTGACAGTGGCACTGGAGAGCATGATGCCCTGCTTGGAGTTTGCCTGTCCCAGGCACTGGACCTGTTTCCCTCTGACTACCATTTTATAACACAAAGCTTCTTCCTGCCTGGTCCTCCCTGGTACCTGTTTGACGCCATTTGCAGGCCTCTCCCTAGTCCTCCCCAGATTTACTCTGACAACCTGTTGAATTTCCCTAACACTCTTCAGGTCTAGCTGTGGGTCAACTAAACTGCTGTCCCGACCACACTCCACTTTTGTAGCCATCTGTTTCCTCTTCCCTAACTGCACTGCCCCTGAAGCATTCTGACCTTTCCCCAGGAGACCTCACAGCGTGCCTCATGTCCAAGCGCACCAGCCCGGCCTGAACGAGGTAGAGTGGGCAGAGCTTCTCCTGGACACAAGAACAGGGTTTGAATCCGGCACTAATGCAGGATGGCCAGAATGAGGAACTGGCTTACGTCAGGAAAACAATGGACCCGTTAGATGATGAGGTCACAGTTTTGACACCAGACCTTCATCACACACAGACGAGTCATGACCCACAGATGCCTGCTTTACATCCAGGTGCTGGGCAATGGCCAAACTAAGGCTTCAGTGACTTCTAGCTTGACTTCTAGTCAAGCAGAACACAGTCCCACTTTCCCTGACTGAACTCTGTGCTAGAGGAGTAGAGGGGACATTTGGGTGAGGCTATTTCTTCACAAAGGAAGAGTGACCTATCAAGCTTACCTATGACCATTCTTTGTCCTCTATCTAGGTGCAAGCTTATCTAGAGACCAGGGGAAGCTCTAGGCCATACATCCCAGGCATGGTCTCATTGACCTCCTTACCAATAACTCTCTTGGCTCTCTTCCTTGCCAGGCTAGGCATCCTGAGAAGTCTTCCCCCTCACCCTTATCTGGTTCTCTCCTCAAAACCTATGGCTAGCCACCTGCTGAGAACAGGGTCCAGACATGCCTCAAATGACTTCTCTAGGGAACCTGTAACTTGGGGATAAAAACCGCCATCTCCCCCGAGGTCCATGTTAGAATCCACTGCCTGGTCCTTCATCACCACCCTTTCCCTGCCCCTCCATTCACCAATCACCAGTCTGCAGTCTTTGCATCTCCTTGATGGGCCTTCACTTTCCTCCTTTCCCACGGCACCCTCCCCTCTCATCCAGGCCACAGCCACTTGCCCAGGCTGGCTCCAGGTTGACTCAGGGGTGGAGCAATCTTCCTCTAGAGCCAGCTTCATGTCACCCCCTGGCTTCACACCCCCATTGGTGGTGCCCTGTAGCACTCAATATTCAAATTAAATAATTTGGCTTGGTATGTAGCTCAGAGATAGAATACTTGCTTAGCATATGTAAGGTCCAAGGATCCATCCCCTGAATAGAAAATAAATAAATAAATAAATAAATAAATAAATAAATAAGTAAATAAGTAAATAAATAAATAAATAAATAAAACAACCCAGTTTCTGCCCAACACTCAAGGCTTATATCTTGTCTCCCTCTCCATCTATGGCCCTCCATTGGCTTCAGGCTCTTCCCCTCTCAGAGCTTTTCCTTGTCTCTCCCCTGGTACGCTCCTGGGTACCTGTACCAGGACATGGAAGCTCTAAATGGCAGGCAGGGGCTCTTGGTGTGAAAAAAAATGTCCATGTTCTAAGCAGGTTGGCACTTCAGTGTGTGCCTCAGCTCCCTACGAGTTGGAAGAAAGTGGGTCAGCCACCGAGGCTGTCTGTTGGGTTGAGGGAAGGTTGAAGGCCTGGACTGCTCAGTCCTAGGTTGCGTCTCGTCAAGCAGGATGGCTGTGGTTGATGGGGTTCTTCTCCCACTGCCACCTTGTCTGAGCACAGACATATGAGATGGGGTGGAAGTGGGCTGCACTTGGCACAGCTAGTACTGAGTAGGATACCTCTCAGTGTGAACGCTCACTGAGTGTGAATCAAGGCTAAGGCTCTGTCTGCATTGGCAGCTGGGGAATGGAAGCCAGAGAGGTTAGAGGACTCTCCTTGCGTGAGCTGAAACAAGACCAACCTGGAATCTGAATCTATTTCCATCAGATTCAAGAGTTGTCAGGACCCACGGGAGGACTGAAAGCAAGGAGCTGAGTAGAGACAGCAAACAGGGGAAGAGAAGGAGCAGGCAGCAGTGGAGAGAGACACACAGCTGAATCACATTTGCAGCTGTTAAAGGCAACTTGGGGAAGGTGGGTGTGTCCGCAGGAGGGGTTTTCGTCCTCTGGGTATCCACCTCCCACAATGCTAGCTCCTTGAACAGCCACAAGGACATGGGCCAGAGGCCAACAGAGTGTCAGGGAAGGACGATTTAAGTCCTTTTGGTCGGGGGTCCACCCAGGACCTCCAAATGGACCTCGGGGGGCAGGCACTTCCAGAGATGGAAATCCATCATCTTTATGCCCCCGTTTGGATCCCTAATAAGGAAGTAATAATATTGCCAAATCTTTTCCAAGCTCTCTATGAGCTAGTGAGAAGACTAATTATCTGACGACACTAATAAATGGTTATGATACTATTAAAAATGGCACCAAGCTAGGATTAACAGGCTCATCAATTGTAGGGAATTAGGTTTAACAAGGTCCCCTGCATGTCCTATCCAGGCCCCTGGCTTTGATGGGTACCAGGCCTCCAAAGCCCTGCCCAGCAGTACGGAGGCTGTGGATGAGGCTCCCTGGGGTTCCTCAGGAGAGGGGCACTGAGGGTCTGGCTGTTGCCAGCCTTTCTCATCATGTCCCTTTAAAAAGTTGTCCCTTCAAAGTTTGTGGGCCACTGAGATTCAGCATGGCAGGACTAAGCCCTTCTGATGTGGCTTATAGAAGCTTCTTATAGAAGCTCTGCCCTCCCCCTTTCCATCTTTCTTCTTCCCATCCTTTCTGCAAATGGCAGGCTCCAGAGTCCCACCCACAGGGCGTGGGGAAGTGGGTAAAGAGGGGGTGCATCCGGTCCTGCTGCCTCATTTCCATAATAATTACAGTTATTACTAATAACAGTGACAACACGGCTCCCCATTTACATGGAAGCCTGTAGCTTGGAAACCCCTTCCCATCCATTGTCTTCTTCTAGCCTCACAGTGGGCAGAGGAAAGTGGAGACAGTTATCATCTTTCTTATTGTGGAGGCAGGAAACTGGAGCTTGGGGACACAAAAGGACTCCTGAGCAACCCCCTCCTCACTCTCCAAAGAGTAACTGTGAGGATAAAAATAAAAGCAATGACAACAAGGGCTGATGCTCTGCCAACTGCACCAAGCTCACCTGTTAACTGAGTTCTCCCAGCACCCCCGGGAGGCAAGTTCTGTGCATTCCATCCCCCTCTACAGGTGAGGGGACAGACACATTCACAGGCTGGCCAGGGACACAGAGCTACCAAGGGGCAGCCTTAATGTGGGTTCTTCAGTGCTCTTCCCTCCCACCGCCAGGCTCTTCCACACAAACCACGTTTATCAGGCCAGGGACAGAAGTCTACTGTGTCAGACCCTGCTTGACTCTTGTGCCTCACTTTCCTCCCTACCGCTTGCTTCTGAGGTCTCCATACCATACCTTCACCAATGCCCAGTGGGAGCAGGGCACTTACCAAGGCCTGGTGCAGCTGCCTCTACCTGGAGAGACGGAACAGCGAAGAGTCCAGACACTGACTCGGACTATAGTGCACTGGAGTCTGGCAGGCATGAATGTGCCTCCTCCCTGGCTCTGGGCCAGCGTGGTCTTTCTAGCGAGATCCAAGTCCAGGGCCACTTAGGCACAGAGCCTTAAAAGACCCTCTGGCTTTGCATCCAGCCCACCAGGGAGCTCCTAGTTCCTTGCTGCCTCTCTCTCAGTTTCCGCAACTGCCTGAGTGGGCTGCTTTAAAGATGGAGGAGACCAGGCCTAGGGGTCCAGGGAAGATCTGGTCCTTGCTTCCTTTAACTGTAGACAGAGTTTCTTTCAGATAGGCATTGCTTCTGTACTGCTGAAGACTTTGAGGTGGAAGGTGGGGCATATTCCATCCGTGCCCCATGAGCCTGACAAACAGTACCTAGCTGTAGTCCCGCACCTTCCTTTGTGGCCTTGGCAGTTACTCCTACGGTTAAAAGGAAGACGTGTGTGTGTGTGTGTGTGTGTGTGTGTGTGTGTGAGAGAGAGAGAGATGAAGAATTTCCCACATTGCACATTTGCTAAAGGTGTGTTCGCTGTTTGCTTCACATGGGTACCTGTGCCCCTGTGCCTCTTCCCAGTGCTGTGGCCAGGGGACCTGCACATTTCATGAGGCGGAAGCTGCTCAGAGGCTAGATGTGCCTGCGCCTACAGCTGAGTGCCCCAATTCCTCTCTTGGCTCGTGGCTTCCTTGTCTTCTCCACCATGGTCTATAAACAGAGGCTTCTCCCATGGGCATCTACCCATCTTCACCCTGTCTGCATGGCTCCTTACTCCCCAGATCTTCCCCCTCCCAGGCAGAGGTTCCTGGTGCTGCCCAGTGTAGTCCTATTCACCCCATGATGCCAGCCCCAAGCGCACTCATTGAGTGACCCACAGTGACTAGAGGAAGTGACCGATAAGTTGGTATGTCCCTGCCTTGAGTGGTATGTTTGTTTAGGCTCCTCAATCCCAGGGCTGGGACAGCCTTTAAGGATCGAAGGGCTGAGCGACGGCAAGCTCAGAGGGGTCAATTTATGTACACAGTGGGAATGCTGGGAGGTAGGCAGCCTATGCCAGGCAGGCCCAGTAGAGCTGGGCACACCTCTTCTGGATTTCAACCAGTCTCCAAGAACACAACTTTCATCTCCATGTCCCCAGTCCTTAGACCTTCACCTGCTGGGATGCCCAGATGTTTAAATGGTGGTTTACGAGAACCTTCCACCCTGTCCTTACCCCAACCTTCATGCCCAAGCCCTGGCTTACGTGGTCAATGAGCTCCTTGACCATGCCGTTCCACTGGCCCTTGTCGTCCTGTGCCCCGTACTTGCCATCTTCCACCAGCCGTATTTCATAGGAGAAGCCCAGGATGTGCGCCAGCTCCTTGAGCAAGTCGATGCAGTAGCCCTCAAACCGGTCATTGCCATAAAGGGTCCTGTCAGATTTTCGGAACATGACAAAAGGCTCCTCCTGTGGGGACAGAGGGGAGATGGGTGCTAGGCTAAGTGGCTGGGTGGGGTAGACTCTGTAGTTCAGACTGCATGTGCCACCACACCTTGCTAGGCTCTTATGCACACACACACACACACACACACACACGTTCATTGGTGGCACGCGTGTATATGAGTACATGCGCATGTGTGTACAGCTACATGATGTGGAGGCCAGAGGTCGAACATGAGTGTCATTGTTCAAGTACTATCAACTTTTTTTTTACTACTTCCATTTTAATAATAATAAATGGAACGTGCATTAAATGTTATTGGTATAATGTTCTTTTGAAATGTATACGCCTTACCCTTCTTCATTCAAATGCTGATTTCTCTCCCGACTCTCTGGTTTCAATCCAGATATTGCATTGTGATACTTATTCTAAGCATCCTGTCTCAACTTTGTGTAAACAGGCCAAAATAAAGCAACTAGCCACAATGTTGAGCAGGGGGAGGAGCCAGAAGGCAGGAAATGAGTGGACTGAGAAAGGGCGAGAGGAGAGCTAAGAGAGCAGAGCTGGAGGAAAGATTGGGGAATGATGTGGAGAGATGAACTGGACCTGATTTCACTAAAAGCAAGTATAATGTGGGAAATCTAAATGTTAGGAAACTATGAGGGCTTGGAGGCTTAGGAGGGAGTAACTATTGCCCAGCATTGTGTTCTAGGTTAACTAAAGAAACCCAGTCTCTGTGTGGTGATTTGGTTATACAGCTGTTTAGGATTAACAGCAAGCTTTGCCAAAAGATGAATCAATAGTAAATATTAGTGTCACCATACAACAAAACGTAGAAAATATTTTAACATATTCCCCCCTAGTCAGGCATGGTGGTTTGTGCCTTCAATCCTAGCACTCTGGAGACAGAGGCAAGAGAATCTGTGAGTTTGAGGCCAGCCTGGTCTACATAGAGAGCTCCAGGTTGACAATAGAAAGACCCTGTCTCGAAAAGAAAAACCCCTTTAAAAACAAAAGTATTTGTATTCCTGTAATCAAAACTGACCACTTGAAGTTAACTGACCACTTTGCTTCAGTGGGATGGAGTGGATACCAGAGACCATCTTGGGTCATATGCCCTGTTTTTGGGACAGGGTCTATGACTGCCCTAGTGCCTGCTGAGTAAAATTAACTAACTAGCTACAGAACCCCAGAGGTCCTCCTGTCTTTGCCTCCCCAACACTGGAATTTCAAGCCTGAGCCAACACTCCTGGCTTTTCATGTGGTTCCAGGGATCGAACTCAGGTCCTCCTGCTTTCAGAGTGAGCACTTTCCCATCCCAGCTCCCCAGGCTCAGACCTTATTAGTCTAACTGGCTTGGACTAACAGCCTAGAAGCGAGGAGAGGGCAAGCACATTTTCTGAAAGCCAACAGAGATGGTTTCCTAGGACAAGAGGACAGAGTCTTGCTGCTGCTGACTGACATTGGTGCCGGCGATCCAGAGCTATTGAGTGTTGGGACAGGGACTACCTGACTTCATAGTACAGGTTTTCTGCTGTACCAGTGTCCCTTAGAACCAGTTAGGAAATCACTCTTGGGCTCCACACTAGACCCACTGAGGCAGGAGCTACATTGGGGTGAGCCTCGTGTCCACTCAAGTTGGAGGACAGTACAGCCAAAGCTCTTCATCTGGTATGGTGACCTCCTGACTTACTCCAGAGCTGACAAGTTAACAAATTAGTTAACGCATTGGACACACCCTTCCTGACACCACCTCTATTCCCAAGGTCCCCTCAGTGCCCAGCTCGGGACCGGGCAGTGAGCCAACACTGACTACCATGGTAACTTCATCTGTATGTGGCTGTGCCTCTCCCAGGGATCAGCTGGTTCTCAAGAAGGCAGTTTGTGAGTCCGGGGAGGCCTGTGCTGTGTCAGGTGCCTCTTTCCAGCTGATGGGAAGCCAGTGGAGGGCACAGAGTAAGGCTCAGCGCTGTCTGACTTTTCAAAAACACACCCCTGGCTGTGCCACAAATGGAAATAGGAGAAGAGGCAGGAAGCCCTTGCAAAGGACTGAATTGACAGCATGCAGTTGCAGATGCTCAGATGTGGCAAGATCCAGATGCTCCAGAATCCAGGTCAAAATGCTAGCCGGTGATTCTGTGGCCTCAAAAACCTATCCCCTGTTGACAACCCCTGTGGCAAAGTCTGGGGTGGTTGAGCTAAATGACCCCACAGCACCTGCAAACTCGCATTCGTTGAATTACTGCTGTGCACCACACACCATTTTCAACTCTTGTCGGTCTGTTTTGTTTAAGTCTCATTAGTATTCGAAACAGATGGGTCTTATCCCCATTTATACATGAAGAAATAGACTCACTCGGAGTGGGACACTACATTACCCAAGCCCACACAGCAGTTGAAGATAGATCGGTGGAGTTCAGGGAACCCCTCCTAGCTCCTTTCCTTTCTGTTCCTCAGCTCAGACCCTCCTGACTCCACTGGCTAGTGCAGGTCGTGAGCTCAGGCTGAGAGCTGCTATCTCCTCTTCTGCTTCGATCTCCTGCACTTCCTTCCTCAGTCCTGACCCACTCTCTGCCCTGGCCTGCTGGCCGCCTTCCCCCCACACCCACAGCAGCACCTCACTCTTGTCTAAATGCCTCCACTCCTAGCTGAGAGCCGTCCACTGACAGAGAGCATGCCCCTAACAGCACAAGTACTTACTTAGAGGGGTGTCTCATTGTTCTCCCCATTGACAGGATCATTTTCTTGACCCCCCCCCCCCCGAGCCCCTGGGGTAGGGTCGGAAATGGAAGGCTCAGGTGATCATTGTTGAATGTCCTCAGGGGCAGAGACCTGCCCAGTGCCTTAATCCAGCCTCCCCCTGTGGCAGGTAGGCTTTGTTCTTCTACCCTGGACCCCCAGTCTCCCAGTGTGCCACCCCACCTTATGACTGGTCTGCTCAAGCTTTCTGGAGTCCTTCGGGGGCTTCTGAGAAAGAGCCAGAGAGTATCTGGACCTCCAAGGGGATTCCTGATCATCCATGAAGTCTGAGGACAATGCTTTCAAGTCTGATCACACAGGAGCATAGACTTTAGGGTTAGTCCCACCCTAGACCTCAGGGCCTTGGGTGCTACATTCAGGCAAGCAGCTTGCCACAGGGTGGAAGGTGGGGATGAAGGAAATAGAGGTGGGCTCAGGTCAGGAGCTCAGGCTGAATGAAGGCGGACTCTTTGCTCCTTCCCCAGGTAATACTGCACCCTCATCCTGGGGATGGCCTGGGTGGGTAGGGGGCATGGGTGGGCTATCAGTCCACTTTACCCCTTTGTCCGATGCTCTTGTACAGTGCACAAGGTGCACCACTGTACTTGGGGGTTCTGACCTCATTTAGCTTAGCCAGAGAATTAGAGGGAGGGCACATCGGTCCCAGGGAAATTGCCAGGACAGGGAGAGATGCCCTCTCCCTTCGGTAGAACGCCGATCCTAACAGAACTCATCCTAACGAGAGCAAGAATAAGATGGAACCACCTAGCCAAAGTGCTCATGCCTGGCGAGTGTCCGCTGCCAATATTACTGTTACTGTTGTTCTTATTATTACTGTTTACACCCATCCCTTCTTCCTGTGTACTGTCTGGCCCGTTACTTCAGCGACCTTCCCCCTTAGAGGTCACACCCGATGTCATCAGAGGGTAACAATCCGTGGCTGCCAGGGGAAGTGGAGGGACTCAAGAGGGAAAGCCCTGAAGACTGCTCTCTTCCAGACCCGCCCCCTCCACGCCCCTCCTTGGCCTTAGCCTCTAAAATTAGCACTTCATTTGTGAAGGCACCACAGTCCCAGAATCTATACATCTCCATCTAAATACGCTGCCTTCGGAGCAGCTGCAAAATGCCATTAATTTCGGGAAGTGCTTTGCGGATGGCATACATATTTAACAGCTGAAGCCCAGGGCATTAAAATGGTGCTCGCCTTAGTAATGCGTCTCCAGTCCAGCAACATTTCCTAGGGGGTAATTCTCAACTCCGAGACTACTTATTCATGGACTATTTCACAATTTATTACTGGAAATGTCCAGACAGCCAGTTCACCGGCTCCCTCAGCTGCTAATCGATTGCTCAGTGAAGGTGCCCTCAATTTCATAACTTCACGCTCTCCTATTGCTCTGGGAGAAGAGCCGTGGGACCAGGGGTAATATTTCTCCTCAACAAGTCACCGAAAACAGGGGTCCAGAAAAATAACCTTTCCCGACTTTCTGTCACAGGGCTCTCCATCTGGCTTAGCTACAATCACTTAGCAATAGAGAGGCCAGGCCCAGAGCTAAGCTTCTCCCAGATGCGGGGCCAGGAGGCTGAAAGAGGAGGCAGGGAGCAGGCAGCCCCCAGAGGGAACTGATTCAGGGATTAGTCATCTGAGAGCTGGGTCCCCGGGTGTCCTGCCTCATGTGCACTTGTATATACACTGGCAATCTGGCCCATGTGCTTCTCAGTGCCGTCTGCCTGTGCCTGGACACACAGACCAAGAACCCTGGCTAGAGGCCTTGGCGGCTACAGCGCAGAACAAGACAGGGCATTTAGGATCTCATTTCTCCATTGGGAGTGTCCAGAACGCTGGCCTGGGCTTCCTGGCCCACATTCTGGCCTTGGCTTTCCCCTTTCTCTTGCTGCTGGGTCCTGGGGGTCAGCTTGCCCTGCCATTGAGCCTATGTGGATCACGATGTGTGTACTTTCCTGGTGTGTAACCAGAGGCCATTCGTGGCCCGTCCTAAGAATTCACATCCACCCATGTGCACCCCCATTGCCACTCACATCCACAGCCAAAAAGTACCTTGAACCTTCAAAAGCAGGGCCCCGGGAGCACATCTCGTACGCTTGCTTTCTTGGTGTGAGCTGAGGTTTGAGGACATGAATTTTTCATGAGATTGTGGAAGAGCAGAGGCAGCAGAGAGGCTGGGCCTGCAGGGAGGGTGGTGGGGTAGGCTTCCACTCTGGAATGGGGGAGGATTTGGCTTGTGCTCTGAGTGGCCAGAGGGCACAGGCAGGCCCCTGTCTATTGGTCTACTCAGGGCAAAGCACCCTGAGTACCTAACCCCAGAGGTTTATAACAGAGAGACTAGCAGATGGGTTGGTGAGCTCACACAGGCTGCTGTGGCCACATCCCAGGAAGAAGGGTGTCCTTCTCACGAGGGCTCTCACCTCCCCATCCTGGTCTCCAGGGGCAGAACAGTTTGATGTTCTGATCCTGTGCCCTGGTACCTGCCTGTCAGTCAAAGCATGGTTGTCTTGACAATGCCAGGAAAGACAGGGAGGGGCCTGTGCTCTCAGCAGGAGGTTCTAGCCCTGCACACAGACAGCCAAGCAAGGGACTGAGTTTTCAGCCAGGACAGTTCACCAGAGCCAAGCTGAGCCACTCCTTATGACTTGTGTGGTGATCCCAGAAATAGATAATCAGCCTGATTTGGAGGTCAGAGATAGCGATAATCAGCCTGATCCCAGGGCCAGGAGCCCAGGACTGTGGCCAGGGGAGGGGAGGAGGTAGAAGCCAACCTAGAGCTTTCTGTCTCTCTGTGAGGCTGGAGCTCTGAGAAGGTCCTAGGGTGGAGGTGACAAATGTTGAAACTATACAGCAGAGCGTAAACCTGAGGCAGCTGGGGAATTGTGAGGTAGGCCCAGGAGAGCTCACTGGGCTTGAGAAATGTTCAAGTGAGAACAGAAAGTTCATAAGACAATGTACGCCAGTGCCAGGAACTGTCACTCTGACTAGGCTAAGTCTTTGGTGAAATTCAGGGCTCCACCTGTGGCCATACATGGTTGGTGTGTTGTAATCAATCTGAGTTCACTGGGCCCTGGATATGTAATCAACAGCACTACCTTACAATAACTACACTCATCCCACAATGAGCTTATAAACATCCACCCTCTCAACTCTAGGAAGTAGCTGTGTTCACTCCCACCTCTTCTTTGTCACACAGGCCAGAGGCACAGAACAGGAAAGCTGTGCCTCAGGAGCACACACTATGCCAACAGAGAGGTCAGGACTCAACCCTAAAGTCTGGGCTCTCAGCTATTGCTCACCCCCTGTTCCTGCAGGTGCCAAAGAGCTGGTGGGTCAGGCCATTTCTACCCAGCTGACTTGAGGCTGAGGAACCGCTCAGATGGAGCTGTGTCCAGGCTCTAAGCCAAGAGGGGCTTATCTCCCCCACATCCTCCTGGGGCTCCTCGGAGCCAGCCAACTCTGGGGATGGAGTGAGCCCAGCAGGTTGGGGCACCAGTGCTACTACAATGAATAAACTATGAAGATTGACAGGTCGGGAGTATGGGTTCCTTGCCTGACTCAGCTCTTCTTACAAAACAAAATGAAACAAATAAACAAACATACAAACAAACAAAAGAGGCCTGTGCCTCTGCAGAACAATTCATACTCTTTTTTTTTTTGGGGGGGGGAAGGGGCTATCCTGGAACTCACTATGTAGACCAGGCTGGTCTCTGTCTCACAGAGATACATCTGCCCTCTGCTTCCTGAGTGCTGGGATTAAAGGCGTGTGCCACTATGGCCCCAGCCAGTTCCGCGCTCTTAAAACATAAAAAGCTGCCATTTCAGTGGGATGTGACCCAGTGGCCTTTCGGGGTGGCTGTGTTTTGCGTCCTGCTCGTGAGTCCTCAGCTCACCGCTCTGTTTAGAGTCTTGTTTCGTGGTTGTGTCTCTTCAGCTCCTGTACCTGTCTCTCCTCCTCATCTCTGAAATCATATTTCTCTCACCTCGTTTTAATCTTGCCTTGCAAAGAAGTGTTTTATTTATATCTCACATTTCATGCAATTCTGCTTTTAATCTTTTACCACCTTTTTATTATTTTATTTTTACCCTTTTATATTTTAGCGTTGTCACACTTTCATCCTTTTGCTTTTTGACATTTTTTGCCTGAACATTTTTTACCTTGTCTAGCCAGCACTGTAAATTATTTAATTTTTCGTATTTCTTAATATCTTCCCTTTTAATATCGCTCTTCACCTCATTTTCTCTCCATTATTTCCCTGCTAACCTTTCTATTTAGCTCTCCTCTTGCTGTCCTTTATCTTTTCTATTTTTATCCACATCCATATTTCTTTAATTGCTCATCAATCTCCCTTAAATCCCTGGGTGTTTTTTTTTTGTTGTTGTTGTTGTTTATTTTTATCATTCATATTTTATGTTAGTTTTCCTCCTATTCCTGTTGAGATCTTTTTTAACTCATGTCTTTAGTATTTGTCTCCTCGATAAAAAGTGAATCCCTAAAGATGATTACATGGAAGATTCCTGGGGTTCTTGCCCCTACCAAGGCGGCATGATACCTCCCTGCTCTAGCAGTAGCTTGTCCGTAATACTCTGTCAGTTTCTATGGTCTTTAATGGGATTTCTCAGTGACCGTGACCCTGGGGGCTGAAGATGAAACCCAATCGCTAAAATTCCTTCAACATGTATAGTAATCCAGCATCTTCGAGAGTCCTAGAAGAAGGAGGGCACTGTGTAATTCCTTCCCTGTTTCCTGATGCCCATCACCCACCCACTGCACACCAGAGGGGAAGATCATCTCCTATGGCCTGGTGGACCTGCCCCAGGTGGGGAGGTAGGGGAAGCCACCCCCATCCAAGCACCACGGCAAGCTCCCAGTACTTGGGTCCAGGCCTTAACCATGGAAGGCTTCCTTAAATCCTAATGGGCCAATACTGCTTTTGTGTGGAGGATCAAACCCAGGTACCCACGTATGGGTCTTATAGAGTTAGTGGCTATATTCTTGAAGGTCTGCTTGGGCCAGAATTGTTCCCTAAGGGTTTTCAGCTTCTGATTGGCCGTGGCAAGGCTCCTCGGATGGTCCTGGGGGAAGGAAGGAACTGTCTCTAAGAGTTGTGCTAAGACAGCGCAAGGGTCTGCTTTGAGTCTGTGTTTGTCTTTGCAGCAGCCCAGGAGGTGCAGAGCAGTGGCCAGTAAGGGAGAGTGGTGGCTGCAAGCTGCAAGAGAGCCCATCAGCCACTTCCTGGTTGAAGGGGGTCAGGAGAACAAAGACAGGAGGAGAATGGAAGGCGTGGAGAAGAAGCTTGGCTGAACTTTCTCAGTTCAGGAGGGGAGGCAAGTGGGAGCCCCATTGAAGCCTGATGGGAAGATGATGGCTCATCACAGAGAGGTTGGGGTGTGGCTCTATTCAAGGGCAGAGGTGGCAGCCTCCAGCTCTCAGGATTTATAATCTCTGTTCGGCGTGGTATTTGCACAGGTTTCTGGGGCTCCCTGGTGTGGCCATAGCACCTGCCACAGCTGGGGGGAGGGGAGCACCGGGGAAGAACCTTGTCCCTGGGACTTGAGATGGGAGAACAGTCAAGCCTCTCTTGTGGCCCTACTGAGAAAGCAGGGATTCTGACATGCAGGTGGGTAAAACGGCAAACACAGGCTTCTCTTAGGGGATGGGGAGAGGTCCTGCGTTCCCACCTCCCTCTAAGAGCTCTCTGATCTGTCCTAGAAGTTTCTACTTTCCTGTGATCCACTTTGCTATTGTCTCCTGAGAGCCTCCTTAAGGGGCACCCGAGATGTGACAGGTCAGGGATAGAGGGGTCCCTCAGGTCAGATGGCCAGCCCACTTCTAGGTCGGACAGCCCTTCCAGCGGGGCATGAGACTCTTACCAGCACAGTGGTGACTATCAACGACCTGTTGGTCAGAGAGTCAGTGACATTAGGACCTCGGCCTTTGGCAACCTCAGTGATGTTGAGACCATCCGCTGGACTCCACACCCCAACCTGGATGGACAGACAGACAAAAAAACAGGTGCTAAGTCCTTCCTTTCTCCTCACCAACAAGGCCATCTGCTTCTGATTGTCACAACCATTGCCTGTTCTCACTGCGAGTGTCTGTGTTTTGAGCGAACAATTCTGATGACAACTCTGCTGCCCTCCCTCTTCGGAGGAGACTCCAAGGTGTGAATTTCCCCTTTTCCTCTGGCTGACATAGTCTCAGCTGAAGGGGAAATGCAGAGGAGCTGCAGGGGAGCTGGAAAAACAGAGCAGATGCCCAGCAGGGATAGAAGAGCCAGGGCCACCTCCTGACAAGACACTGGGCACCCAGCGGCTTACTCATTTGGTCTCTTTCAGACCAGACACCTGCAAAGCCCAGCTCACCCTGGAATGGAGGCGGTGCTCCTGTTGGGATAAGGGAGAAGGGCTGACCTGTGTAGACTAGATGAAGGGGGAGCTGTGGGCGAGCAGGCAGCAGGCCGGCTTCTGAAACTGTTTTGGGTGACAACATAAGTCCGATGAACTGCACACACTACAGCTGCTTGCTTTGTGGCTTCACGTAGGCATATACCCTAGTCTCCATGGGAAACTCCTCACAGTGTCCTTACGAATATCAAACCAGAGGCTAAAGTCAAGGATGGAGAGGTAGGGTTTAAAAGCCATCCCAGGCTCATGAGATGGCTCAGCAGGTAAAGGCACATGCTGCCAAGACTCATGACCCGAGTTTGATCCCCGGGACCTACTTGGTACGAGGATAGAACTGACTCCTGAAAGTTGTCCTCTGGTGTCCACAGGTGCACAGTGGCTTGAGTCCATACAAGCGCACACAATGAATAAATAAACGCAATACATTTTTTATAAGTCATTCCAAAGCCCTAGGCTTCTTGCAGGTGCATTCTGAGCAAACTTCTCAGCTGGGCCTCATCTTGGCTCCTCTCTCTCAGGAAAGGCATCAGCACGCCCACTCTGTCCTTGGCCCAGTTGGGGGTACTCAGAAAACCTAATCAATTAAACAGAGAGGCCAAGAGCAAACATCCCACTCAGAGAGCTGTGCACTACAGATAGCAGGGAGATACGTAATTATGCTTGGGTAATTCTGCCTTAATCCTCCCAAAGCCACCGGCTGGAGCTAGCTGGATCAGCTCTGACCCAGCTTAGCAAACAGAATGAGGCAACGAGAGGCTGTGGCTATACTGAGGGTTCAGCGCACTCTCTGCCTGTATGGACCACTTGGCAGAGACAGGAGGGAAAAGGCTCTCTTCTAAAGCGAGCAAGAGGTCTAGGTGCAAGAGGCACTCAGCAAACATCTGTCCAGAGGTGGGTGAACAGCAGGGAGCCGCAGCCCAGCAAGCTCTTCTAATCCCTGACAGGGTATCCTGGTAGAGTCCAGGCAGGATGCGGATGAAAGAACAAGAGAAAGGAGGTTCTCTGCTCACAGGCCCAGGTGGCTATGACCGGCAGCCTCTGTGGGGACCCTGCAGGCCAACCTCCATCCGGGGATAATAGAGTTTTTCTTGAGTGTTAGCTACGGTCAATTTGTACCAGCTGCCTGGAGGGCTGCTGGGAGATGGATGCTGCAGGGTGGGCTCAGATGGAAAGAGTGCTCCAATGATCAATTACTGATGCCTGCCACGGGCACAGGAGCGGAAAGCGGTGGCATGTGTGCCATCCATCTACTGTCCCTAGAATTTGACGCTGTCCCCAGAGAGGAGTGGCTGAGAGAGCAAAGCTAGGACAGTTACCTGTGAGCATGTCATCTGCGCTATGGCTGCGGAGGGCAGCTGCCCTCCAGCCCTGGGGGGATTGGGGCAGGGAGGCTCATGGAGTATGCCCAGGGCTGGAACAGTGAGTGGGCATCGGTGATCCTAGAAAGGGAGGCCTCCACCCCGATCTTGGGAATTAATGCCACCCGTGATGTGAAGTACTTGTAGATGAACCGTGAGATTTCCTCGCCACTCCTCCTCTATACTGTGAATGGGAGGACTCAGAAGCGAATTGGGGAGCTTTGGCCATAAGTATATGGAGGCTAGCACTTAAGGCCAAGCAGAGCTAGGTCCATGCCTGGAGGAACAGATGTCACTTTCAGGGCACTTTCAGGGCACCAGCTGACATGACACCCAGAAGTTTAGGAGGGAAGGGACATGAATCAGCTGTGGGGTATTTCAGAGAGCAGAGGAAACTGGGCTGGGTGGGAAGGCCAGCTGAAGATTTTCTCAGTCTTAAAGGCCCTAATGGAGGGCTACAGCATACCAACTTGGAACGGGGGAGCCATGGCAGGGCAGAGCTGAGCTTGGTGAAGCTCCGTCTGTACAATAAGGGTAGATGAGGGTTCAGGATGGATGAGTGTAAGGTAGAAGTCAGGGAGGGGGGTTATAATAACCCTCTGGAGAGGTTGAACACAGGAAAGCTATCCTACAGGCCCAGTGACAGCAAAGGGGTCCTTGTAGCCTCCAGGCCACTGCTCTTCATATCTTAGAAATGCCGGATGTCAGGGCTAGAGGGACACTCAGCTGCAGTGGGATGGGTGTGGCTGAGCCGCTGGCTCCTGCCAATGCTGAAAACTGGGGCTTCAGGTTAAAGCCCCCTCCCAGCCCGGAAGCCTGACTTTTATAGCACATGCTGAAGGTCCCTGGGGATTGTCACAGGCCTCGTTAGAACATTTCTATGTTGGTCAGAAGAGAGCCTTCAAGTCCAGATAGGCTTGCTTTCTTTGACCAAATGCTGGTCTGAGAAGTGAGAATTGAGGGGAGCCCAGACCTCAAGAATTCCAACATCTCTTTGAGGTAAGACAGGCTTAAATAATTAAATGCCTCCAGGGACTATGAGCTTACTACCCCAAGTAGGGAATCTGTGGAGGTTAGGTAGTTTAACCTAAGAACATGCATGTCCTCCTCCCTAAGCAAGCCCTGCAGGGTCTTAGAGACAGTCAGTTTGTGCCACAAGTCTTTGATTGTGTTTCCCTGCCAGGCCTAGCTCACAGAGTGGTGGCATAGGTGTCTGTCATAGCTAAGCCACTGAGACTGATGCCATCAAGTGTAACAGGACCTTAGGGTTTCCTTTGGCCCATAGGTCTGCAGGGACCATGTGGGGGTCAGATAAATCTCAAGGAGTGCAGCCCGTGGGCCTCAGCCTGGGGCTTTGTGGAGGGCACTTCCAAGATCCTGGCCCTCTGCTGAGCCTCCTCCAGAGCCCACGTACCTTCTCCAGGCCATCCTCCTTCAGGCTGATGATGTCCAGATCAAAATCAGTCCGCAAGCCACTGGTTTTGTTGAAAACAATCCGCCCCGTTAATCCTTCCCATTGAGCCTGCGGAGGGGAGAGGACAGAGCGGCAGTTCCTCGGGCTCATAAATCATCATTCGGTACAACTGTACAATGCTTCATTTTAATTACTCCTTGCACTGATACTGTTCCCCCAAGACCATGATTAATTAATAATCACCTCCATCATTGCTCGGGCCGCGGTGCGAGCCAGCGATTTCCACAAATTCTATTACGCTCCTTAGCCAGCTCTACAACTGCACCTTCTCGTGTACAACATCGATCTCGGATGCGCTCAAATGAGCCCCCGCCTGGAAGCCCTGGGAAGGGGGAGCCCATGTCAGATCCCCAGAGAGGGCCAGGGAGGCAGGTGAGCAGAGCTGGAGCCCGTGAGACTCACCCAGGGGTGGAAATGCCTGTAGGCCCAGCAGGCTCTGGGACACAGCCACATCCTTGGAACACTAGCCCTCGATTCAAAGTCCCTCAGCCTGCTGCCGAGGCCCCATGCCACAGCTGAGAACTCTGGGGTCAACGCCGCTAGCCCTGAAACCTACAGTATTCTGCCTCAGCTTCCTCGGCTAGAAAACGAACCAATCACGTTGTCCGTCTTTCCGAAATGCTTCAAGAGTGAAATAAGCCAGGAAAACCAGAGAGGAGTTCTGGCCTAATGGAGACCCTGGGTAAACGGCAGCTTTGTGGTCATTGACAAAAGAGGCAGGTATAACTTTGTGTGGACTGTCCTCTAGGTCGGGGAGGGGGCAGTCCTGCCACGGCTTGTGTTTGTGACTAGTGATTAGCCCACAGCCATTCCTCCCTGGCTTTGGGGTCCTTCAGGCTTGCCAGGGTTGGCTATTGCTCTAGACTGTATCTTCCCTGGAGGACTCCAAGTTACCATTCTCTGTGCACACAAGTGTGTGTGTGTGTGTGTGTGTGTGTGTGTGTGTGTGTGGTGTGTGAGTGGTGTGCCGGTAGAAATGGATGCTGGTGTGTGCAGATGCGTGTGGCGGTGAGAGGTCAATGTTGAATGTCTTCCTCAGTCATTCCCCACCTTATTTATAGTATTAACAGCAACAATAATATAAATGTGTGTGTTGCATATACATGTGTGGGTGCCCATGGCCGTGCGGAGGCTGGAGGTGTCCTCTCTCATTCTCTACCTTACTCTCTCGAGACAGGGTCTCTCTGAACCTGAAGCTTGCCCCTTCTGTCTAGGGTAACTGATCAATAAGCTCTTTTATCCACCTCTCTCTGCTTGTCAATGTCTAGGCTGCAGCAATGTGCAGGGATGTGCTTAGCTTTTATGTGAGTGCTGGGGATTTGAACTCAGGTCCTCAGGACTCAATAGCATGAGCTCTTACCTGCAGAGTCCCCTCCCCAGCCCTTTCATCTTGTATTTTGAGACAGTGTCTCTCACTGAATCTGGAGCCCACGGATTCAGCTAGACTGGCGGGCCAGGGAATCCTATGGATTCATCTGTCTGCCTTCCTGGCACTTGCATTACAGATCTACGATGTGCCCAGCTTTACATGTGGGTTCTGGGGAACCCACTTCCCCAGCAGCCTCGAGAGCTGTGTGGGGAAACAGACCTAGAGGGAGAAGGTGGTCCGAGTCCCAAAACTTGCACTATACAATAGGCAGAGCCAAGCTGGACCTCTGATTTGGACCCTTCACTGTTTTTTCTCCTTGGGGCTAATGCTGGTGGGTGTTTTGCAGTTAGATTTTTGCCTCTGGGTAAAGAAGACCCATCACCCCTCCTGAGGTCATGGGGTACAGAGAAGGGCTTGGAAAATGGGAGGGAGACAGCCAGGGGGTCCTCAGCCATGCTAGTGAGTGGAGGGGGAGGAATGAGGTATCCAGAGGAGAGGTGTGGACAGCAGGAGGTCTGAATGATGGAATCCTGGCTGAGCCCTGGTCTGGGCATAAACCCTGTATTTTGAGCAGGGTTCCTGGCCTGTCCCTGGAATGAGTATCAGTACCTGTCACATGTTCACCACTTTTCAAGTTTCTGGGCCCCAAAAGCTCATCTCTGAATCCAAACTAAAGGCCTAGAGGGTCTTCCTGTCCTTGGGCAGCTTGGCATCCCTGTGGACTTTTACAAATAGTGGTAGATGGTAGCTGGGTTAGAGGCAGGAAGACTGTGAATTCCTGGGCTACTTACTGAGGCTGTCTCAAGCCCTCCTCTATGATGGAAAGAAAGAACGAAAGAAAGAAAGGAAGAAGGAAGGAAAGAAGGAAGGAAGGAAGGAAGGAAGGAAAGAAGACAGGCAAAAGGTGTCCCAACTCATAGGCAGTATCATGGAGCCCTAGGAGGCTGCAGAACGAAACAGGCTTGATCTGCCTAACAAGCCACTGGTCAGCAGGTCCTCAAAGAGGTGGGTGTGGTGCCCAGTACTACATCTGTGTGTATGACTGAGTGTTATGAGTTATCACCTTTCCTTTGTGTGTTCTGGAGCCCAAGAGGCTCCTGGAAATGGAGGAAGAGCAGGCCATTGGGCAAGGTCAGGCTCCAGGAGGAAGTTTATAGCAAAGAGCTTAGGGAGCCCACGGAACTTCCACTGTGACCCTGCAAGGTGTGTGTGGGGGACATCATTGTCTCCATTTCCCAGATGTGAATACTGAGGTTCAAAGATGGACTGAAGCACTGAGGAGAGCATTCAGTTAGTAAAATGCCTGAGGTCCTGAGTTGGATTCCCTCACGCTCACGTGAAAACCTCAGGTGTGGCTGTAGACACCAGTCACCCCAGAGCTGGGTGTGGGTGAGATGGAGACAGCAGATCGCCAGGACTCACTGGTCAGCTAGCCCACCTAACCAGTGAAGCCAGGGTCAGAGAGACCCAGGCTCAAGAAAGCCAGGGCAGAGAGTGTAGTGGAAGATACTATCTACCTCCACTCTCCACATGAATGCACACCTGTAGACACACACAGACACACAGAATCCTGGGAAGCTGGAACTCACACACACATACGCACACATGTACACACACACAGACACACACGGAGCCTGGGAAGCTGAAACACACACACATACAACGTACAGACACACACAGAGCCTGGGAAGCTGAAACACACACACACACATATATACAGACATACAGACACACAGTCACACATAAAGCCTGGGAAGCTGAAACACACACACACACACACACACACACACACACACGCATACACACACACATGTATACACATACAGACACACATGGAACCTCAGACGATGAGGCACACATGCTCAGAGACACGTACACATGGAACCTGACAAGCTGGGACACATACACAGACACACACATAGACACATATACAGACACATGGAGCCTGGGAAACTGGGACATACACACACACAAAGACAGACGACAGACATACACACAGAGATACAAAGACACACATACCCACACCCACATATACACGGAGCCTGGGAAACTGGGACACAGACAGACAGACATGCACACAGAAACACAAATATATACACACACACACACGGAGCCTGGGAAGCTGGGACACACACACACAGACATACAGACAGATAGACAGACAGACATACAAACACACACACACACACACACACACACACACACACACACGACATATAGAGCCTTGGAAGCTGGGACAAACAGACAGACACACAGACACATACACACACATACAGACACACACATACAGACATACACACAGACACACATACACAGAGCTGGGGAAGCTAGGAGCCAAGCAAGGGGATGGAGATTAAAAGCCACATCAGAGAAGGTGAACAGCTCTGCTTAGGACTTCACAGGGAGGCCCGGCTTCCCTCAGGCTGGCTCCCACCCCTCTGGCTTCTCTCTGAGGCAGCCCACACCCTCAGGCTATCCGCAGGCCCCCAGGGAAATCTCAGCAGGTGTCTTCAGCTGCCTTGCTCCTGCAGAGGAGGCCTTCCTCCTTGTCAGCTCCAGAGGAATTAAATGCCAGCAGGTGCGGCCTGTCTGTGGGCGGGTGGGCAGGGGCAGGGCAGGAAGCCACGGGCAGCTCCTCCCCGTGACATTTCCCGGCCCACCCGCCCCCTCTAGCAGAGGCTCGGGACTCGCTAAATGAAAGATGCTTCGCACGCTCTGAACTCCGGCCTGGTATTTTCCAGCTCCTCACGGAAATGCCAAGTCTTTAAAATGATTTACTGTCACACAGTCAAACAGGGAGATGGGCAACTTGGAAGTGGACAAAGGGAAGACTGGACTCTGCAGGGTACCTGGGTTCTCAAAGTGGCCAGTTATAGACTGTGAGCATCTCTTGGCTACTCCTGCCTGACCCCCATGGCCCTGAGAACAGAAGGAGTTCTGTAAAGGCTGGGAGTGTCCACGCCAGCCTGGGTAGGAGATCTCCAGTGGAGGGAATGAGACCTGTCTTTTTAGGCTGGGCAATGGAGAATCTGCTCCCCTTGAGCATTCATGGCCGAGCCTCATGCTTTCCAAGGAGCAAGGGGTGAAGAGATGGGGCCCCTGAAGCAGTATGGGCTGTGGGCCCTCTGGCTGGGACCCACCACCCCAAAGGAAGTTAGAGTGACTACAGATGATGGTAATTGAAAAATCAGAGCTGTCAGGTGGAGCACAGCGCTGAGAGCAATCCTCAAAGGCTGTCAGTAAATGAATGGACTCCAAAGCAGCTTGCCTGTTTTAGTCTCTGAAAACACACACACACACACACACACACACACACACACACACACACACACACAGAGAGAGAGAGAGAGAGAGAGAGAGAGAGAGAGAGAGGAGCCTGGACCTTCCTAGAGGGCCTCACCTGAGCCCCTTGTGTTGGTCACCACGGTCACCCACTCACTCTGCCACAGGATAGCCCTGCCTAGACCTCATCCTATCTAGCCTTCTCTTCTTCCTGGTTGCTGAGACTAGACACTGGTCAGGCCCTCTGTCTCCCGACAATTCTAAGCTGAGGGACAGAGTTGGCCATCTCACCCCAAGCCACTTAGCCAGCGTCAATGCCCTGACACACAAAGCTCTGACTGAGTGTATCTATCGGTCTGTAGAAGGGAGCCATAAACCCTGTGTCCAGAGTGACGGTGGAGAGGACAGAGAAAGAGAGATCTCAATCCCCTTAGAGACTGGAGAAACCGAGCCTCAGGGATGTGAGGTGACCTGCCCAAGTCTTCACGCAGCAGAAACCACTTCCATCTGACCACCAAACCTGAGCACTGAGGCTCTCCACTACTTCTGACCATCCATGGCCACGGGCAGCTTCCCTGGAAGGATGTGGGGACTCACCTCCTTGATGAAGTTCATGAAGCGGCCGCCAAAACGCCAGGCCTTGTGCCGGTGGCACTGCAGGGAGTTCACGGTCATCTGCGGCGCTCGCTGGTAGCACACGGACACGATGTGGACGGCATCGTAGAGCAGGGCTGCATCAGTCTGCAGAGGGCACAAGGCCGGTCTGAGGGCTGCTGCTGCTGCGGCTCAGCTCCCGGGCCATCTGCCCCTCTCCCACAGAAAGCTCGTGGTGTCCTGGGGGAGGGAGCAGGCCCTCAGGCCCGGAGGGGAGCCCTGCCCTTTTACCTCAAGAGAAGCCAGCCTCAGTGGCCCTACTGGTCTATGGATACCCCAGTACCGCCCTCTTTTCTGCAGCCAGATCCTCTCTGCCCAATCCCTTACCTAATCCCACCCACTTCTTACTCCTTTTTTGCCTTCCCAGCCTCACACCTGCCAGCTACCACCAAAGTTCACGGTCTTTCACTCCTTTTTCTGTAAGCCATTTATAACTAGCCCGTGTCTCCATCAGAGGGGCCCTTGGGGTGGGACTGTTGCTGTTCATGGGGCTCTGGCTGATATAGGACAGGTCTCAGCTAGTGACTGAGGTCCTAGTTACTGAAGGACCTCAGTAACTAGCAGGAAGAAAAGGCTAGATAGAACAAGGTCTAGGCAGGTTTTGAAGTGTTATATGGGGAGAAGGAAGGAAAAAGAAAGGAATGTGAGACAAAAAAGAAGGAAGGAGGGAGGGAAAGAAGGAAGGAGGAAGAGAGGGGGCGCCCCTGGGGCCCATCTGTCCATCTGCCCACTGTACCATCATCACTCCATCCAACAGGCCTGACTCTGCCCGGGGAGCTGCCTGTAGCCGTTCCATGGACCACTTCTCCACAATGGCTGAGACATGGGGATTGTCCACATTGAGTATGCGGAACCCAGTCAGGTTCACCCCCGAGTAGCGGTAGGGCTCCAAGTCTAGTGCATAGAGATCCTGAAGAGAGAGAGGCTTGATGTGGTTAACAGGTGGCCAATTTCCCCCTTCCCCGGCCCTGGGCACCCCTGGGCCCGAGCCGTGGCCCCGTGAAGAGCCCTGTGCATAAAAGGTGACAGAAGTACCCACAGAAGAACTGGACGCAGAGTCCACCTGGATCTTCTGATACTGACCTCACATGCTGACTGTGGGAACCAAGGAGCCTGTTTCTTCATCTACAAAATGGGAACCACTCCCCTTTACAGAACCGAGAGAAACCCTCTCACCTTGGGAGAACAAAGGTTACTGGGCCTGGGCATCGCCAAGTGACAATGAAGGAGGCAGAAAGGCCAGAGGAAAAAAATTTCCCCTTCATAGACAGGTGAATGGGGTCTAAAGAAATCTGCTGCCTTCTTCCCTCTTCTCCATGGCACAGCGCCCTTTCACCCTGCCTCCTAGGAACAGCTGTTCAGAGGACTCTCCATGGTCAGGTCCCATGCAGCCTGGTAGATGGGAAGGCCTTGGGAAGCCCTTGGCTACCAGCCCAGGAGAACAGAATATAAAGCCAGCTCTGGCCCCTCTTGCAGCCCCAGCTCAGGCCAATGGGCTGGTGTGGCAAGGACCCAAGAGACAGGGCAGTGGGAATAGCCAGCTCCCCAGTAGCAGAGAAGAGAGCGTGTGGTGGGGGTAGTTAGCCTTCACAGGAGCCAAACAGAGCACCAGAGGTTCAAAATGACTCCAGACTCAAAGAGGCACGAGAGGAACATCAGATGCTTTCAATACGAGGAACAGTTGCTTGCAGGTCACGGGGTGGGGGGAGGGGCTTGGGGGCTGCTCCCTAATTCCACTGGGTTAGGAACTGCCGTTGACGCTAGTTAAAGCCCAAACTTCTGGTTAACATGAGATCTGTGTCCGGCACAAAAGGTCATCCCTAAGGCTGTGGTTTTATTGCTTTGCAGACTAATCTATTTTGTATGTGACCCGACTGCCCTACTCTATGTCCATTGGAAAGCTGATGCTCCCCTCACCACCCGGCTGTTTACTCCTGACTTAGAAACACATCCAGTCTACACTTACTTCAGACTAATGTCTTAATTTTCAAAAACAAATACTTGAACAACGTAGACTGGCTGCAAGCCTGGACTGGGGAAACTGAGTCCTTGGTTTGCACTTTCCTACTTCCATTCACTGAGCTGTCTTCCGCCTTGAACCTGAAGCCCACTCTCACCTCTACCTCAGACCATCAAATGGGACACAGGCTGGGGCCCATAGGGCAGACCTTGAACAACACTTGGGCATCCTGTGGTCTCTTAGATGGCTCCTTCTGGTGAAAAACTCCTGCTCCTCCTCCCGCATTTCCAGGAGGACCCTTTTGGAAAGGCACCGTGTGCATTCATCTCTGCTTTGCAGAGAAGAGGAGGACTTGGAGCCCAGGCAAGAACGTCTTATCCTAACCGGCCCAAACCATCTGTGGATTCGACCCACCGTGATTTTAAACACATACATATACATGTATGTATAATTGCTCATCTATATTGAACATGTAGACTTTCTCCTCACAATCCCAATACAGTGACCTACGCAGCATTTACATTGCGGTGGGTACTGTAAGTTTTCTAGAGTTGATTTAAGGGAGACAAGAGCACGTGGTAGTAATATGTAAATACAATGCAATTTTATACAAGAGACTTGAGTGTTGTGCTGTCTAGTTTTATGTCAACTTGACACAAGCAAGAAATTATCTGAGAAGAGGGAACTACAATTGAGAAAATGCCTCTCTAAGATTGGCCTGTTTATGGGACAATGTCATGATTAATAATTGATGGGGGAGGGCCCCGCCCACAGTGGGTGAAGCCATCCCTGGTTCTATAAGGAAGCAGGCTGAGCAAACCATGGAGAGTAAGCCAGTAAGCAGCACCCCCGCCATGGCCTCTGTATCAGCTCCAGCCTCCAGGTTCCTGCCCTGTTTGAGTTCTTGCCCTAAATTTATGGAGCTGTAAGTGAAATAAGCCCTTTCCTCCCGAAGTTGCTTTTGATCATGGTTTTTGTCTCAGTAATAGAAACCCTAACTATGACAAGCATCTACAGAAATTAGTATCCGAGGAGGTCCTGAAGCTAACCTCCCCTCCCCCATCCCCATGAATACTATGGATATTAAGGAACAACTCTCTATGGCCTTGCCTCTAGGCCAGTGTTTAGGACAATGAGGAGGAAGTAGGAAAAAGTCAGCACTAAGATGGTTAGAGGGTGTCTAAATTGTACCAGTCTCAGTGGAAAGTGAGTGTGGGGACCATAACACATTTTAACTCTCTCTCTCTCTCTCTCTCTTGGTTTTCTCTGTGTAACAAGCCCTGCCTGTCCTGTACTCACTGTGTAGACCAGGCTGGCCTCGAATTCACAGAGATCCTCCTACCTTGGCCTCCTGGGTGCTAGGATTAAAGGTGTGTGTTACCGCACCCAGCCACATTTGACTTTCAAATCAACTTCCCTTCTCATTTTACAAATAGGGAAAGAGCACTGGAATGAGGGTGGCTTGCAGAAGAGGTGACTGAGTCACAAAGACTCTGCCCTCCGAAACACCACCTGAGTGGTGGTGAGTTGGTCAGGTGAGGGAGACTTCTCTAGGACTTCAGCCAACTTCCTGGGCTGCCATTCACAGGCTCATCCACCAGACGATCATGAAGCCCAAAGGTCCTCACTGGAGGCCAGTGCCAAATTCCCAGACTTCCCAGCCCACAGAGCTGTAAGCTAGAGAAACTCCTACTGTTTATGGCCTCCTTGGGCTAAGGCATTCTGTCTGTGGGCTGTTCTCTTAGACTCAGAAAAGCATCACTTCTTCCTGGTAGCTTCCCTTATTGTTCCTTTACATACACACAACCAGGTCTATCAAAGACCCAGCTCTGATCCTGGGACACCCCCCGCCCCAGGCTTTCATCCTAACAGGCAGCAACTGGTAGGGTCTGGGTCTGAAATCCCTATGAGCTCCTGAGCATTCTTGACTCCTGTGTGGAAAGGGTCAGCCTGGCTAGTAACCTCCTGAGTGTTTAAATATTTACTTCCCCCTTGGAGGAGGCTCTCTGTGAGGATGTTAAGTTGGAAGTAGCTTGGTGAATTGCCTGGGAAGGAGGGTAAGCGTCTGATGGGAGTTTGTTTCAAGACCCAGGCCTCTGAGACCTTTCTAGGAAGGCCTGGTGAGCTAAGCATATTTTTGCTTTGCAATGGGTATATCCAAGTCTGGGGCTGCAGCTGAGCTTCTGGGACCATGCCCGACACCCACCATCCTCACCCTTCTCAGCATGGGGCTCTGCCTCTTCTCAGCGTCAATGCCAACCTGATGTCTCAAATGATGACAGATACTAAAACAGTAGCCTTCTCAGGGCCCCTGACTCAGTTTACCCATGTCTGGGCTCAGAGGCCTGCCTGCCTCAGTGTGAAGTCAGGCATTTCTACTTCGGTGGGGAGTAGTGCTTCTCAACCTGTTGGTAGTGACTCCTATAAGGATCACATATCAGATATCCTACACATCAGACATCTATTCACATCGCGATTCAGAACAGTAGCAAATCTACACTTATGAAGTAGCAATGAAATAATTTTATGATGGGGAGGTCTCAACAACAGGAAGAACTGTAGGAAAGGGTCACAACACTAGAAAAGTGGACAACCACTGTTGGGGAGGCTTGTGTGCTAGTGAAGCCCCCTTCCCTGGTCCTTAGCTGCAACATTTGATCTGACAGGACAGCCAGTGGCTGGTGGCAGGGGTTGAGTAGAGGGCGGTGCTTGCTAGTTTGCTTTTTTTCATCGCGGTGACAAAATCCCCAACAGAACAGTTCAAAGGAAGAAAGGCTTATTTCAGCTCATGGTTTCAGTTTCATCCCATCCTAGTCAGGGGAACGGATGGAAAAGCAGAGAGGCGGGAATGTGTTGAATTATCTGTTCATACCGTGGTGGGCCAGGAAGCAGAAAGTATGGCGGGAACCAGGGGCTGTGTGTAGCCTTGAAATACCTCCTTATAGCAGTTGGCCCTACCTCCTGGGGTCCTAGAGCCTCCAAAAATCCTGCCACAGAACTACAGAACAAGTATCCAAAGCATGAGCCAAGCCAGTAGGGGGACATCCTAGATTTCTGTCATACCAGGTTCTCATGGGTGTCAGGGCTAGGAGTCACTTTTCTTCACGCCATTCCCTGGTCTCTACAAAGTCCCCTAGCGACGCAGAGTACTCCCATCCCTGTGGCATGAGGGTAGTGACATTGAGTAGCTGCTGAAGAGGCCTCTTTGTCCAGCTCCTGTTATTGTTTTTTTGTTCCAACTGCTCCGGGCCAAGACCCTAAGTGCTCAACACGGTGAACTGTGGGTAACTTTGCAGCTTGGCAAAAAAGTTGCATTTCCGATGCCAAATGTTGACACACTGAATTCAGTGTCGACTGGGGACCTTTTAGAAACATTCAGCATAACATAATAGACTAATTCATTAGCACCCCATGGGTCTGAATGGGAAGAAGCCGATGCTCGGAAAACATGGCCTCAAGGAACGACAGATGAAAATATCTTTCCCATGATGTAACTGTTATTGCCGGGAAGTGGCATTAATTGTGATTGCTTATCTATTAATTTATTATAATTCTTTTTTTTTCACCTCCAGGCTTTTACCTACACGTGACATGTACCACGGGCTCAGCTGGGGCTGATTAGCACTGGGTTATCTGGGAATGGCTCAAAGCTGGCTGACATCAATAATGGCAGCTGGGGTCATTAAAATGTTTTCCGAGTGGGAGAAGCGACTTTTTGAGAAAATTTTTTTGAGGGGAAAGGGTTGACGATGTGCATTTCCTAAGATAAATGCCCAATGCCACTGTCCCTCCCAATAGTGCCACCACTGACCAATGGGCATGAAAATGGAGCATCATGAGAGAGGGTCCTGAGCTAACATGGCTGAAAGGAAGACCCTGAAGCTAGTAACAGACTGTGATCAGGGAAGAGGACCAAGGGGGACATGGTGGATGCCCTGACACATGGGAGCTACTGGGATTGCTGTGGAAGACACCCAATACACATTCCACCATAAAGCTGTTTGCTGCATTATGGAGGCCACAGCTCTCTGGAAGGGCCTGGTCTCCCGTGCTCCAGAAAAGGGCAGGAGGGAGAACAGTGCCCTAGAGCAGCCGCATGGCAAGACCCAGAGTGAGAGCCTGAGCCACTATCACTGATCTTTTGTGAGACTTTGGGCAAGTCATGTCATCTCTCAGATGCCATTTTCCCACCAGTTGGTATAGAGTGGAAAGCACACTCTCCCTTGGTGGCCTGGAAGGGGAAATCAGAGGACACAGGCAAAAGCCTTAAGTGTGGGTGCTGCTGGGATTTGTGAAGACTCTGTTTACCCCATTAGTGTCAATCACCGTGCTGGACCATTATGGCCAGACATCATGAAGAGTCTACCTGCCAGAGGAGGCTTGGGGCACTGCAGTGGCAGTTGTCGGCAGAGGGCTTGGCAGCTGGAAAGCCTGTGCTGGGAAAATCCCTGCTGTCTGCTTGTCACCAAGTCATCTCTCTCTGAGCCTCGGTTTCCACTTTTCTGGGGGAAATGGGAGAGCCACAGCTCCCTTGAGACTTGTTTTGAGGGATGGAGGACACAACGGGAAGCCAAAGCAGGAGATGTTTCAAGTACCTCGACACCGTCCAGGCTTCAGATACTCACCCTACGGCGTAACACTGCCATTGCCATTGTTTTACAGATACAGGCACGAGGCAAAGAGAAGGGGGGTACCTCGCCTAAGGAAGTGATGCGTCATTTCTGGTGGTGCTGTGTGTGTGTGAGTAGTTTGTAGTTAATGTGTACACACATGTCTGTGCGGAGACCAGAGGAAGACGTTGGGTGTTGGGAATCTATCCCGTTTCACCTTACTCCCTTGGGAGGGAGCCTCTCACTGAACCTGGAGCCAGGAAGCCCCCAGGAATCTTCTGTCTCCACCCACTACATCCACGGCAGAGGTTATAGGTGTGCGCAGCCACAACCAGCTTTTCAACGTGGGCTCTGGGGACTTGAACTCGGTTCTCACGCTTGAGCAGCTAGTGCTCTTTAACTACCGAGCCATCTCCCACCCTCCAAAATGAAGTATCTTAATTCTAATCAGACACACCAGGGCCCGTGGTCTCAACTGCCTGTTGCAAGTGGTGATGAGTATGGATCTTGCTGATTACCGTCTAATTTGCATGGCGGCCTCTCATCCACTCATCTCCCACTCAGGCATCACAGAGCACCTGCTGTGGGCCAGGCACTCCGTGGGCACTACAGACAGACAGCCTTGCTCACAGCAGGACGTCTCAGAGCTGGTGCGTGAGCTGTGTGTCGTCGGGTCCGTGTCTGTTCATCATACCAGCTCAGAGCCGGGGGTCCCAGCATTCGTTTGGTAAATGAACACACACAATAAGGAAACAAACTCTAGGACGGATGGGCAGTACGTGGGGCTGGATGAGAGATCTGGGGTGTTGGTATGCTTCTCCTGAGACCTCTGATCTTGACCTCCATGGAAAACGGCATCACTGCAGAAGGCACAGGGACCGAGAGGGGTGCTACCATCTCTGATCTTGGTGTGGAACGCTGGCAGGGATTGAGCATCTTATCCTAAGCCCCCTGGTGGCTCTCTAGGACACAGAATGGCAGAAAGTGACTGGGCTGAGGTGGCCTCTTAGGGAGAAGGTACCTGGTCTCAGTCCCCAGTTTTTAGGGTCCCTGTCTCCCTTTGGTACTTTCATCAGGTGTCTAGTTCTGCTTTACAGCCAGCAGGATGGACAAGGTGGCCCTGAGCTCTGCATGGGCACAGTGTGTCGCCAATGAAGGGTGGGTGACAATCAGAGCATGTTGGTGACTATTCTGTGCTGGGGAGAAACCCTTGCTGGCAGCAGTAATCCACTGCTGTGGCATATGTCTCACACTAGAGGACTGCAAGCTAAGGATACAACATGGAGCCCTGAGAACATGGCTGATTCTCCAACTCCGGCGTGAGCCAGTTCCAACCCATTACTGAAGACCTAACCTGCCTTCTGGCCTTTGCTTGTGTTGTTCCTTCTGTGTGGGATACCCTTCCTTCCTCCTCTACCCACTGGTGAGCTCCTATTGATCCTTCAAGGCTTAGCTCAAGAGCATCCTTTTCTAGAAAGCCTGCCTCCAACTTGCTACCTCCTACCAGCCTGACAGCTTGGAACGTCTCCTTGTGCTGTTCCCTATGGCTGTCTGCCTGAGATCACAGGCCAGCTGTATCAGAGCCAGATATGTAGAGGAAGTCAGAATCGCCAGCTAGGTCCAGACGCTTGGTGAAGAATGCTGACCGGTGATCTATAAATGAACAAATCATCTAGAGGCCTGTAGGACTGCAGGAGTGGGGCCACCAGTTCCTGAATGGGAGATTGCAGGGAGGGAGGGTGAGGACGGCTCCAAGGCCAGGCAGCTCAGCACTGGTGCCCTTTTTGGCACAGGATGCCATGATTCTGCTGATCTCAGACCACAACTAATTATTCTAATGGGTTTAAATGGCCCTAAATGTTCTCAGAGTTTGGACAGGACCCATCTGGAGCCAGCAGGTGGGTGCAAGGGGCTGACCTCAGCATGGATGGTGCAGGATCTAAGGTGGTCACCCCAGGTGTGATGAGGGCCCTTTGACAGATGTAGAGGGGAGGGCAGTCTCCCTGGCAATGGCCACTCTCGCCAGCTCCACCTCAACCAAGCTCTGCTCTCACCCCTGGGCCTGATCAGCTTCCTAGGCCTTCCAAGGAGGTAGAAGCCCATTTTGCAGAGGAAGAAACAGAGGCACGGAGGGCTGGTCCCTTACCCAGGGTCCCCATACTAGCCCACGGAGAAGCCATTCTCTACTCTGGCTCCAGAGCCCATGCCCGTGGCTTCTCAATAGTGAGCAGGTCACAGATAGATCATTGAGACCTCTGCTGGAGCCACACCTATTCTTTAAGAAGGTTTGGGTCTCCTCCAACTATAGCGCTCGTCCCCAGCAGGCTGGCCCAGGCCCAGCTCAAGCAACCTCCATTCATGGAGGTCCCACCCTTCCTCCCAGGACCCAGAGGTACGTTACCAGAGTGGTGAAGATAAAGTGGTAGTATTCCGTCATCATGCCCATGGCCATGGCCTGTGGGGAAGCAGAGTGTCAGCTAGCAGTATGGAACTCCCTGGCAGCCCTCTATTCATCGGGGGCAAAGGGCTTGGGGGACAGGACAGGATGTGGGCTGTGTGAAATTATCTGTTCAAACTCAGGGTGAGACCTTGGGTAGGACCGGCTGGCAGACAGCAGCAGGTTCCCACCGAGAGGTGTGGCGAAACTCACCTGGGGGTCCAAAAGACCCCCAGCTCTGCAGGGCAGCAGGGAGGTACCCAGCTGTCTGGATTTCCAGTCAGTGTCTCTGGGCCTGTCGCTCAGACATGCTGACAGAAACCTGGGCTGCCTCAAGAGCCCAGCTCTACGTGGCTGAGTTTCCCCAGTCAACCAGGCTCCGGGGGACCAATTCTTAGCATGAGTGTCCCCTAGGAGCAATGAAACCTCCATGCTTCCCTGATCCCATCAGGCCGCACAACATACCACACGCTCCTCTGGGGTTATCATCGCAAGCAGCACGAGGTCTCTGTGTGATGTATCTGTGTGTTTTATTAGCAGCCTGTAATCTATAACACTAATGACTGTAATGCATTTTCTACAGAGTTCCCCAGCATGCAGGGCCCACCGAGGGCTCTGGAGGGAAATGCCACAGGGTCAAATATACCTTGAACTGCTGCATGATCTCTGTCACCCTCATCTGCACTGGGAGGGCTGAGAGGAGGCCAGCAGCCAGGAAAGGCCTCAACCTCCTTTAATCCACTTTTTAGCTCAGCCCAGGGCTGTCAGCTCTAACTCTATGTGTTTTCCAGTCAGACAGTCCTAGGGATTAATCTGAATTCCCAGCTGGATGACCTCAGGCCCACTGCTCCCCCTTCAGCCTCAGTTTCTTCACCTGTCATCTGGCTGTACGAATAGGCCCTGCTTTCAGGTTTAATGGGGAAGGACAGATACCCGCTGAGTGCCTCTTGGGTACGCCAATGCTATGACTGCCATTCTGTCACACATGCAGAGAAGAGAGGGGAAGCCCTGGGGCAGGACTTCAACATGGGGTCCTCCACAGGGAATGGAGGGTGTCCCAGGCCTAATGCCAGCTCTGTGCCAGAAGCACCATCTCTGCTGTCCTGTCTCACGGATGCCCCCAGAGATGCCTGAGGTGGGATTATGAATGGACTCTGTCCACAGAGGAGGAGATAGTAGTGTCTTCCTTATGGAACATGGAAGGGAAGAGGCAGGACAATAGGGGAAAAAATCTCCTCCTGATCCTTAGGCAGGGCCTCATGTATCTCAAGCTGGCCTTGAACTTGTATTATGGCTAAAGATGATAATGAATTTCTGAGTCTTCTGCCTCTGCCGCTGACTCCTGAGATTACAGGCATGTGCCACCATATGTGGATTATGTGGTGCAGGGGATTAAACCTGGGGCCTCCTGTATTCTAAGTAAGCACTCTACCAAGACTTAGAATGAGGTCCAAGGACACAGATATACTCTGTATCTCTAACACCGCATGTCACTGTGTAGCCCAGACTAGCCTTGAACTCATGTTCCTCTTGCTTTCGTCGACAGCTTGAGTCGTGTTTGGGAGTGGAGGACCATCCAGTCTGGAGAATGATTTTCCTCATCTACCACATTGCAAAGCTTGCACATTGTTTAAAGAGCAGTCTCCCAGTCTTAGGAAGTAACAGGAAGTGGGGAATGAGTCCCTGGGAGAGGCAGCGAGGACTGTACTGAGAAACCAAGGCTCTCCCTGTCCCCCGCTCCCCTCTGAGCACCAGCGCTCTGTTCTCATGCCCCCTGACAGGCTAGTGGAAGTGGGCTAGAAGGCAGTGTTTATGCTAGGGCAGTCTGGAACCTGGGCATGACATGGGGCAGATTTTAACACAGCTGGAGGAAAAGGACCATTATACTGCTGGTACAACTGAGGCACAGGGCGCCGTAGTGGCCCCTAAGGTCTTACAGCCAGCTGGAGAGACAGCTAGGATGCTTCCTGGGGTCACGCTCTTTACCGTACCTGGAAAAGGAGATGTAGAGCCATGGCAGGTCCCCACCCAAACCCCACAGCTTGGCTGGCGCTCACCCACCCACCTGCTTGAGGATCTGGGCTGCCATGGTGTGGCTGCAGTCGAAGATGATGCGGAACTCCCGGCCCCGCTTCATCTCCTTGAGCAAGGGCCTCGAGTCATCCGAGTCGATGGGGAGCTGGCGAATCTTCAGGCGGATGTTGTACCTGGAGGGGGCCATGATGAGTTCCTGCAGCCGGATGAGACCTGAGGGGCCCGGGACACAGAAGACACACATGTACGCGCCGGTGTGAGCCACCCCAGGCATCTATTCTGATGTCTCCATGGAGCCTTCCTCATTTGTTCCATTCAGAACCGTCTCCCTACCCTCAAACACCCCCTAATATCGACACCAGCTTAGGGGGCTCATCCCCTAGCATCCTCTGCCTGGTCCCCATCCCCCACTCATTCTGCTGTGACTAGAGCCCTATAGCACCTGGCCCAGGGCCTCAACACTCAGGGAGTACTCAAACAACATTTCTGTAATTGGATAGACTTACTGTTTTCCTCTCCCCGAATTGAAAAAAAAAAAAAAAAAAATCTATCCTCCATCTTGGCATTTTGTAAAAACCACTTAATCTGGGGACTTCCAGGGGAAAACGGAATGTCACTTCCTGGAGACAAATTGCTTGGTTAGGTCTAATTAAGTTCATTTCCTTCCCCATTTCAAGCTCCTTTCTTGCTGACTCCTCGGTAGTTTCTGGGAGAGAAGCTGCTTGCTGCTCTCCATTGGCCCTCCCCACCGAAGGAGGGGCTGAGCCAGCAGGTACACGCTGTCTCTCTCTTCCTTGTGCCTTGAGCTCGGGTGGGCACAGCAGCTCCACGTGGGTCACACACCTGTGCCTCACCCCCACGAACTTATCCTAATTTTCCTTGGGATAAATAAGTGGGAGAGGTGCTCCCCCATTCCGAGTTTATGTGACTCAGGAAAAATCCATCCCAGCTCTAGGAACAAAGCACATGGCCCCAACCTGGCCAATAAGCAAGCATGCCCTCTGGGGATAGGAACGAAGCGGTTCTGTGATTAATTAGTGCTAGGTAAGAAACAACCCTTTGTATGCAAGTAAGGTGGGTGTAGGTCTGCGGTCACCACATCTAACCAGAGATAGGATCCATTAGGGCGGATGTCAGAGAAGAGGAAAAGCAGAGGACAGATGTTCTGATGACGCTCATTTGAACCTCTGGGTCAAAGAGTAAGATCTAAGATCTTACTCTAAGAGTAAGTCTAAGATCTTCTGAGGGCGCCAATAAGAACCACATACACATACATCCCTGCATTTCTTAAGCTAATGTGCACTGAATTAACGGATGTGGTCACCTGTCACAGCGTTTCCTATTTAGGCAGCACCTCCCACTCTCACATTCAACTTTAGAACCCTTCCAATGGAATCCCAACGTCCAAAGCAGTCCCTCGTACCCAGCCTAAGTCCGTCCAGTCCTCCCTTTTCTTTCTGGGGGTTTTCTTGCACCAGCTTCTTGTGCCAACCTCCCAAAGAACTCCAAAACGTTCGTGGGTTCTGCATAGACAGGTAGAAGAACCCTGGTTCGAACAGGCCTCTGAGTTCCTAACACCTAGGAGAGGGAGGGATCAATAGACCTCAGCATAGGAGGGGCCATAAATTACCCCTGTCACACCCAGAAGCCCACCTTCTCCAGCAGGTCTGGGTTCTTGCGCTGTTTCTGCTGACCTCTCACATCTGTCACCTGGAGGCCCTCCATGCACACAACACTCCTGCCCACTCATTTTTTTCTGACCCTGTTGAGCATTAGCAGGCCCGTGGGCTCTGGAGACCCAGATCATGAGGACGGCGGGGACAGTCTGGACGCTGGAGTGGAAGCCACCAGGGCCCGTTTGTCACAGAGCACGTCACCCCGTGTAATGCATAACGACCCACATTCTCCAGCAGCAAATGTCAGACTTCCTTCCCATCAGTGTATTCCCCAAGGAGACTGGGGCTCCTTCTGGCCCACCTCCAGAGGACCGGGCTGTCTGTGTCTGCCTGAGACTGAGCTTCTCTCTGCCTGCCTCCTTAATCAATCCCTTCCAGAATATCCACACGGAATCATGGTTGTTGGAATGGCATTTTTTTTTTTCACTTACGAAGCACTTTTGTGCTCATAGCCCCATTTTACCGTCTCCGTCCGAATCCCGGGAGGCACACAGAACAGGAACCTTCACGGTGGGACAGGTAAGGACTCTAGGGGCATGGAGGTTAAGGGAGCACCCTTCGTTCTGAACCAGGCCACAGGTGGGGCTGGGTTTTGAGCAGCAGTGTTTTGCCTTCTAGGCAGAGACATTTTTTCTCCACCTTATGGCTCTTTTCCTCCCTAAACCTTTTCCTTTCAGCCCTGGCAGGAGTTTGTGCACAGATTGGATTAGGAAGATGGAAACATGGCAGGGCTCAAAGGTCACCTCCTCCACAGCCACTCTCCTTGAGGCCACTGCTGTGAAAAGGATAACCCAAATTCCTCACCCCGTCCCCCAGACCCATACCCTTTGCATGGAGACGGGCAGTGCCCGCCCGCCAGGCTCAACAGGCATGATAGAACTCCATCCTGGCTGATTCTCTTGCTCCTTGGCCATAGTTAGGACAACAATGCCTGGATGAGCCTGCTGGGGGACAGAAACACACGGAAGAGAGCCAAGGCCAGGCTAAAGCTACCAGCAGGCAGGCAAGTAAGCCAGCTGAAGGCAAAGTAGCAGCTGGCCAGGCCCAGTGAGCCTCTGACCTTGTGGATTCAGGAGCTAAAGAAATATTTGTTGTTTTAGGCCACTGGATTTTGGGGGTGGAGGTGGTTTCTTACACGGCTTATTATAAAAAGGGCTAGCAGATGCGTCCTCGGCTGACATGCCTCAAAAAGTGTGGTAAGGTGCCAGTCCTCGTGACTGTAAAGAGCCAGTCAGTAGCCATCTTACTCCCACTTGACAGTGCCTAGGAGTGGTTGGCACCCCATGAGCTGTACAAGACTGTCTTCTAGAAGGTTCAAAGGCAGACCTTTCACATGGATGAGGGTTATGAGTCAAACTAAGACAAATTTCTTTGTCTCCTTCCAGCTTGGGGTGTCGGCATCTGAGGTGATGTCTGGAGCTGCAGCAGCACTCGTGTGCCAAGGAGGAGAAGGTCAAGAGGAGTGTGAACAATACCCACCCAGCACTCTGACCCTGGCAAGCTGCTAAACAAACCCTGGAAAGGTCCAGCCCCACACCCCCATAGCCACCAGAAAACAAAGTGGCGATCACTTGATTCGATTTGCTGGGTTGTCCCATCAGCTAAAATGTGGGCACAGCCCTGCCACACACATTGCTGAACCCACCGTGCTTCCCACAGGGTGGTGGTCCAGCCCTGGTGAAATGCCGTGGTTGAAGGAGCCTGCCTTCTGCCTTCTGCCTCCTGCCTTCTGCCTCCTGCCTTCTGCCTCCTGCCTCCTGCCTTCTGCTTCCCACCGCCAATTTGCATTGTCATATCACTGTTCACTGCGGCTCTGAATCCTAGAACCCACTGTTCTCTTGATCGAACCCCATCTCTCATTTCCTCAGCCATAAGTACTTCCTAAACTGAACTAAATTGAGACAGATTGAAAATCAAACTGAATTAAATGCTGATGAAATATTGCAAGATAAAAAAGTACATTAGGCACTGGGCAGGCAGAGAAATGAAGGCGCAGCCATCCCACTTTTTTTTTTTTTTTTTTTTGAATGGTTAATGAGATTACGAGAGAGTGGGGTGCTGGGAGTGGATCTCAGTGGTAATGCAATAGCCTGGGTTTGATTTCTAGTATCTTGTACAAAAAAAAAAAAAAAAAAAAAAAAAAAAAAGAGTTGAGGAAATGGTACCATCTAGAGGTCACTGGCAATTCTGGTAGAGTGATGTGCTCAAAGACAGGAAGCTCCAGGCTTAAGTGTTAGCTCTGAGCAGAGCCATCAGCATGGTGCCCTGTCATCCTGGCATAGCTCCTTGCCAGGCCTTGCCCTCCCACAGCACCCAGCCTGGAGGCCCTGCACCCCTGGGCAATGGTTCCAGCCAGCATCTGCTCTGCCCACTCTACCCGTGACACTATCCACGGGTAGTCTGTTTCTTCTGTTTCTTCCTGTCCACGTCTGTTTCTTCTCTTCTGTTCTGATCCCAGGTTCTCTTCTGAGCAACACCTTGAGGAAAAGCCGCACCTCCTTTGCTTTGGCGGGGACCATCCAATCCCCCCAGCATTTTGCTCTCTGGGGTGTCTGCCGAAACTTTCTTTCATTATTCCAAGGCTATGCTTGAGAACACTCGGTAGTGCTTGGGTTACTTGAAACATAAAAGTCTGAAGCCTGAGGCTGGGTGTCATCCCTGCACAGCCAGGCGAATCCTGCCTGTCTGGTTTTCTCTGCTCACACTCATACTCAACCCTCTTCCCAGCCGAGGCTGGAATCTCCCTAACACTGGCCCATCCTGTCCCACCTCCTCTCCTCTGCTCATACAGTTCTTTCCACCTCCTGTGCCCACAACATGCCTTATTCTGTCCTTCGGTCTCTCTATCTTCAAGGCCCAGGACAAATCTCTTTCTTCCTCTGGTAAATCAGCACACACCAGCCAAGGTCACAAAGCTCTCTCCTTATGTAGCTATCTGGAGCTCTCACTATTTGTCCTTGCTACTTGAGTCTCAGCTCGAATGGCCAAGAGTTACCAGTGACCTATCACTGGGCACCCGTGTTGCAGGATATCTGATCACGTTGTGAACCCCAAGATTGCGTTGTTTACTGGAATAACCTGTTTTTGGTTGCAGTGTGGCTCAGCCCTAGCACACACCTTTAATCCAAGAGCTTTCTGTAAATGGGATTAAATAAATTTAACCCTAGGTCAAGAGGTGGAGCAAGCAACTAGCAGACAGGAGTATACATGGGGGAAAAAAAACATAGATAGTGAGAGGAAGTCAGGAGGATGGATAGGGAGACAAACAGGAAGTAGAAGGGAGAAAGATTCAGTTTGGTGTGGGGAAGGAAGCTTCTTTTTCCTTCCGTGACACAGGCTGAGGAGGAAGGTCAGCTGGGTGCTTTCTCTGCCTCTCTGAGCTTATAAGCTTTCACCCCAGCATCTGGCTCCCATATCTTCTTTGGTAAAAATCAAACATTTGAGATTTTGTTAAGAGCAGCACACCTGCTCACTCTTCAAAAATAAAACAGGGTGGTGCTATCTTTATTTCTGCACCCTTATATCATTTCCTGCAAGACACAGAGTTGAATTCAACATGATTTCCAATCCACCCTAAGTCAGTTCAACCAGTTCTGTAAAATGTCCATATCATATCAATCCCTGTGCCTAAGTCCTAGAGGCACAGAGAACCCCACGGTCTGGTAGCAGAAATGGGCTCACAGGCAAGCTTTCCACAGAGGCTCTCCACCTGTGGGTCACGAACCCCATAGGGGGTGATGTATCAAATATCCTGCATATCAAATATTTATATTATAATTCATAACAGAAGCAAAATTACAGCTACAGAATAGCAATAAAATAATTTTATGGTTTGGGGTCACCAGAACATGAAGAGCTATAAAAGGATCATAGCATCAAGAAGGTTGAGAGCCACTGCTTTAGAAAGATAGGGCCGCCAAGCTGCAGAGATGCCAGAGGGGACTGGGCACTGTGGAGTGCCCCACGGTGACAGAGCCTTGAGCTGGAATCTCAGGGGTGCTAGTAACACGTCACTCTAGCTGTTTACAGAACTCTGAGATGGATAAACGGCATCTGATCATTTTGTCTGTGGGGTTTCCATCCCGCTCTTCCCAGTCCCCATTAGCTCCATTAGGAGCTAATCGAGACATGGAGCTGCAAGTAGCTGAGAGCTGGAGGGCTTTTCAAGGCTGGGTGCTCTATCTCTCCACACACATGGAAAGAGCCAGGCCAGATGGGTTAAGTGACTTGCCAAGGTCACTGTCTCTGAAGAGGCTCGGCTAAGAGCTGTGTGTTGAGATTCAAGTCTTTGGAAAGAAGCGGGGTGGAGGGAGCCATCTCAGTGCCGGATGACAGTAGTGGCCTTGGGCTCTGACAGACCTGCAGCATTGTTCGGGCTGTGATCCTAGCTGCTGACAGTGGGCAGGGTCTGTTACCTTGCTGCGTCTGTTGCCTTGCTTCTGATTTACCACGCCACAGAGTCACTGGGAGACTTGCAGGATTAAATGAGACACTCCCAGCACTGCCTGACTTTCGCTACACACAGAAGTCTTGGAGGTCTGCCCGCTCTGTCTCCAGACAGCAAGCCTCCTCAGGGCCACTGAAGATGAAGGCAGGTCTCCCCTCCTCTCCTGACCTTCTCTGCGTTCACCCATAGTGCACATTTTGCCAAGACGGCGGCTAGGGATTTGTCACTGATCCCAAGATCAAAAGGAAAGACCCAGAATGTTTGCTGGACCCTTAATGGCTCTGCTCCAGGAGCTCACCAAGGGGAAGTAAAGGGTAACACGTTATTCTAAGAGGGTTCTGGAAGGTAAGCACCATGATAGATTTGGATGGCTAGGCAGGGCTAAGCAGGCCTGTGCAGAGGAATGAATGCCAATGTGAGTCTAGCAGGCAGGGCGTGAGTGCAGGATGGGTGCCTCTGCCCTGGGGGTGGGAGTGGGGAAGCCTCAGCTGAAATTCAGAGCCCAGGCTTTTCTTTCCTCCCCTCTGGAGGATGAGACTCAAGTCCGGAGCCTGTTTCTACGAACGTGGCCTTAGCTGGGGTCAGCAATCATGTGAGTAGGAAGGAGGCCGGCATATGAGCACAGTCGGGCATGAACAGGAGTACCTGAGAGTAGGCAAGGGATTGGGAGGAGGGTGCTGTGCGCAGGTGTCAGCGGGATCAGGAACTAACCTTCCTCTGAGCTCTGAGCCAGGTTTCTAATTACAATCTCCCCCTCTTAATTCCAGAGACTCCCCATGAGGAGATAAATGTACAGAGTGGCAACCCAGCCAGCAGGGAGAGCTGGGATTTACACACGGCACAAACAGCCCGAACACCGGGCCACACCGTGAGCAAACTGGGAACGGATGTGGAGAATACAGACACGCCTCCTGCAGGTGGGAGGGTACCGATGTAGGAGTGCAGGTGGGGGTTACGTGGCCGTGGAAGTGTGATCACAGGTCAATGCTTGGCAAGTGCCAACCACACATCTCAGGACTCTGCTGCAGGTGTGCTATGGAGGAAAGGGACAGGTGGGAGCCAGGCTGGGGTTGAATAAGGGGCGTGTGTGTGTGTGTGTGTGTGTGTGTGTGTGTGTGTGTGTGTGTGGCTGGTGTTGCATGGGTGTGAGACCCCAGGTGCATGGGATCAGTGTAACGGGCTGCTGTTGGTGCCTGGTGGAAGATGGGACCTTCTCCTCCGAGGCCAACTGTGCTAGGCAAGCAGATGGCCCTCATCTTGGGACTCTGCCCCCTCCCTCTTCCTCCCAGCCTTGGCAGGTCTGGCCACCCACCTGTACTGTCATCGTAGACCACCGTGGCTGACCGCCACTTGAGGGACTGGACCAAGTCGAGGATGGCGTGGCTGAGGGAGGCGTAGTCAGGGTAGAGGTTCACGTAGAAGGTGTCTTTGTTGTCCAGGGGGTGGTGCTTCCAGCGCAGTTGGATGTGGGGCACCTCCAAGGCGTTGCAGATGGACTGGACAGCATTGGTGCAGGAGCCCTGGGATGGCCCAAAGATGGCTACTACGCCCAGCGCCAACTGGTCACAGGCTGCAACAGAGTGGAGGACGGCACGGGTCAGTGAGGTGCTGTGTGCGCCGGGAGCGTGACCATTGAGTGAACAAGTGGGGAAAAGAGCCAAACATACCCATAGACCAAGCCAGCATGGATGCCACCCTACATGGCCATTGGAGCAAAGCCACTGCCATCATCTTCCTGCAGTAGACACCTGCCACCCTCCCTGTCATGTCCACACTTAGCGGCCAGAACGGGCCTACATGAAGGCTCATGTCACGTCTTTGCTCTCCATCAGTGTAAAAGCTGAAGTTCTTATTGTGCCCCTAGAAGAACTACGCACTGCAGCTTTTCTTCACCCCCTGTTCCTATGACCACTGCTACTTCCTGCTTCATCTCCCGCCTTTGTCTGTCTCTCTCATAGCACTACAGTCCTGCTGACTTCCAGGACATTCCCCAAGCACAGTGAGAACACTCATTCCTTCAGCTATCCATCTGACTCTCTCCTTTCCCAGAGGTCTCTGTATCTGTACGTCTTATTAGGGAAGCCATCACTGCCCAGCCTCTAACAGCAGCTCCAGTCTCCCCTCCCCAATTCTCTAGGCTCTGTGCCCTGGAGATTTTGCTTCAAAGGTCTATAAAATGGGGCCTCCAAGAGTAAATACTGAACCTGGGAAGGCAGGCACATTGTAAAACAAAATCTGTCTTTTCCTCCTCCCATAATGAATGCACCAATCCCCATCCCGTCCCTTCTCTTTTACATACATGCACGCACACACACACACACACACACCACCACCACCACCACCACCACCACACCACACCAAATAGTTTTTTTAAAGGATGTACACCCTTGCTAGCTCAGATTGAAGACTTGACTGAACAGCTTGTGTCATCCCCCCCGCACTGCTCCAAAAAAAATCTTCCTCATGGATCCCCACTCTGCTCTGACATTGAAAAAGGCAGCCCAAGGATGCAGCATATCTTTCATCCTTACATTTTTCACCCTATTCTGTGATGCTCCTACCCTGGACTAAGGGGTGAGAATCATCTCTGACTGAGTCAGGGCACAGTAGAGCAGGCACAAGGTATGTGATGCAGAAGACAGTGTTGAGATGCTGGTGTTGGTGTGGAGGGCAGGGCTGGTGATAAAGATGTCTCTGGCATTGCAGTCATGGAGATGCAGCCATCAGGGATGGCAAGAGATGTGAGTGGAGAGAGAAAAGGAGACAAAAATGAGGCTACTGCAAACCACAGTACCCGTGGGGTGCTGCTGCTATAAAGATGTTCTTGTTGGAGAAATGATGGTGGTGAGGACATTAGGAGGGATGGTGTTGATGTTGGCAAGACTAGTGATGATAAAGATGTTGTCATAGCAATGATGGAGATGATGGCAGTAGAGGTAGGGATGGGGTGATAGCATGGATAGGGATGACAAGAATTGTGTTTCTGATGTTTGTGGTGGTGATGGATGACAGTGATGTCCACGCTGGATTCCATTCTCTTAAAGCTCCAGAGTCTAGACCTACTTGGGATCATTCCTGATTTTCATTGCTTTTTTTTTTTTCTCCTTGTCCCCTCTCTACATCTGTTTTCTAGTCTCTCTGTTTCTTCTATCTTCTGAGGATCCTCCAGGATGGAAGAACCCTGCTATCAACAAGGCCCAGGACAGGGGTTATCACAGCCACAGCATCGGCGACAACAGCAGCCTTGCTTCCAGATGTTTGCAGGGCAGCAGCCAACCTTGTCCTGGCAGTCCCGTGCATGCACAGCAGTAATTACATTATTTGTGGCTTCAATTTTGAATCCATTTTCTGGTCATTTTATAGTAACTCAGTGGTTCACAGTCATTGTAGGAGTCCCCAGCCTGAATACAACCCCCCTTCCATGGCAATTGTAGTTATAGCTGAAATTATCCCAATCAATTTATGTCTTAAAAGGAATTGAGCCACCCAGAGAATAAGTGCAGGCAGAGGAGCCTGGGGAGTGCTGGGTCGATTCCAGCCTGCTCTGGCCAGGCTTGGAAGAAAACAGTGCTTTCTGGGCTGCTGGCTCAGAGCCTGCCTGGCAGACATTCTTCTTTTAATTTTCCACAAAAACATTTCAAAATAAAGGCAATAGTGAAAGTTCCTTTTAATGGGGAAAGGCCTCCTGGGCCTCAAGCAGGAGAAAGGACTAATTCAGCCAGAGCTGGTGGGGTAGTTGGTGCCAGGTTTTGTGTTGCTGTCTCCCCTCGCCCCACGTGCCCTAAGGTGGCAGAATCCAGCTCACGGGGCAGGGGCGGGGGGGGGGAGGATGGTGGTGGTAACTTCCATCTGGGAACAATTAATTATCACTGGATGCCTCAGAACTGGGCCTAAGTGCATCTCCTTGGAAGGTCCTTATGAAGCTCCTGAGGAATGCAGCCTGAAAAATCAAAGATCAAAAGAAGTACAGACCAGGAGAGTGTGAAGCTCCTGGGGAAGGGGCGGGGGTGTTCAGTGAAAGTTGGCCCAGCAAAAGAAATGCCTGGAGGATCAGACAGTGTTGCTGCCATCTGTGGAAGAGGGAGGCTACCTGCCAGATTTGAAAAACTGAGATACAGTGCCATATACTAAAGCCTCTTTCCCCCCACCTACATCTCTGTGTGTGTGTGTGTCTGTGTATGTCTCTCTGTGTGTGTCTTTCTGTCTGTCTTTCTCTGTGTGTGGTTTGTGTGTGTGTGCATGTTTGTGAGAGAGAAGGAGAGAGAGATATGGAACCAAGGAACATGCCAGACAAACTCTACCACTGAGCTGCACTCCTACCTGAGTTTATTCCTTTCTGGCGGACTAAAATTCCATTGTTTAACTATGTGCTGATCGGTTTGTTTTTCTTTTTTTGATGGTCCCCTCATCCATCTCTAGCTTTTGTTTGTTAACAGAAAATTGACTAGATAGAAACATCCTTCTAGGCAAAAAGTTTGGTGAAGTTGAATCTATCTTACCAACTTTGCATACATGAAAAAATATCTCAACATACATGTCTCACCACATACAGAAAATCACTCAGGATACATGAGAGAGCAACCAAGAAAGACACAACTACAGAACTCCTAGAAGAAAACAGAGGACACTGTCTTTAAAAGAGGAAAAGAGTTCTCAACCAGAACACACAATGAGAATTATTAATAAATCAAACTTCTTATAATTAAGGACTTTGCTTCTCATTAGATACAACTACTGAGAAAGTATTAAAGACAACCCCACATGTAATGAATATAGTAAATATATAAATGTATTATTCACTCACTCCCAAAATTACTTTATTTTTATTTTTTTAAAAATTTTTTATATTAATCACAGGTTATTTACTTTGTATCCCAGCCATAGCCCCCTCCCTCATTCCCTCCCAATCCCACCTTTCCTCCTTCATCTCCCTGCCCCTTTCCAAGTCCACTGTTAGGGGAGGTCCTCCTCCCCTTCCATCTGACCCTAGCTTATCAGGTATCTTCAGGATTGGCTGCTATGTCCTCCTCTGTGGCCTACAAGACTGTTCCTCCTTGGGGGGGGGGTAAAGGAGCCAGTTGTTGAGTTCATGTCAGACATAGTTCCTGTTCCCCTTACTAGGGTAACCCACTTGGTTACTGAGCTACCACAGGCTACATCTGAGCAGGGGTTCTAGGTTATAGCTGTACATGGTCCTTGGTTGGAGAAACAGTCTCATAAAGTGCCCCGTGCCCTGATATATTTGTCCTTGTGGAGCTTCTGTCCTCTCTAGGTCATACTAACACCCCCTTCTTTTTTTGCTGGAGAGGTTGTAGAGAATTGGGAACCCTCCTCCATTGCTGGTGGGAATGTAAACTTGTACAACCACTTTGGAAATCAATCTGGCACTTTCTCAGACAATTAGGAATAGCACTTCCTCAAGATCCAGCTATACCGCTCCTAGGCATATATCCAAAAGAAGCTCAAGTACACAACAAGGACATTTGGTCAACCATGTTTGTAGCAGCTTTATTCATAATAGCCAGAACCTGGAAACAAACCAGATGTCCCTCCATGAAGGAATGGATACAGAAATTGTGGTACTTTTACACAATGGAATACTACTCAGCAATTAAAAACAAGGAAATCATGAAATTTGCAGGCAAATGGTGGGATCTAGAAAAGATCATCCCGAGTGAGGTATCCCAGGAGCAGAAAGACACACACAGTATATACTCACTTATACAGACCTATAAGATAGGATAAACATACTAAAATCTATACACCTAAAGAAGATAAACAAGAAGGGGGACCCGAAGTAAGATGATCAATCCTCACTTAGAAAGACAAATGGGATGGACATGGAAAGTAGGAGAAAACAAGTAACAGGACAGAAGCCTACAGCAGAGGGCCTCTGAAAGACTCTACCTAGTAGTGTATCAAAGCAGATGTGGAGACTCATAACCAAACTTTGAGCAGAGTGCAGAAAACCCAAATGACTCTTAACAGAATATATATATATATATTTCCTTTAAATCAACAAGGAAATGACAAACAACTCAATTTTTAAAAGGTCATTGAAAGATTCTATAAAAGGGAAAAAGAATATTCAAGTGACCTATTCAATATTCAGAGTAGCAGAGCGGGACATGTTAGGTCTTACGGGGCAATGGGACACAGAAGCACAAAACGAGGCCTTTCCCCATTAAAAGGTACTTCCACTGTCTAATCAATAGGATAACCACTTTGAAAGATCTGCAGAACGGCTGAAACCTTAAAAAGTCTGACCTTCCTGCGTGTCAGCTCCCATGCAGAACACCTGCCAGCCCTGTGCTGCCGGGGGAATGCAGATTTGTGCAACCACCTATGAAACTGTTTGGCTGAACACGGTGACCCCATGCTTTAGCTTCTAAAAATAAACTCAACCAAACGGGGTAACTATGCCCCGGAAGACAAGCCCATGGCCATTCACGAAACACCATGTTAGTAACCCTCCCTCCCGAGAGGGAGCAGCTCAAGGGCTGGCGGAGAGTGTGAAGCGCTTTTCAAAGGTTCATCAGTCTGTTGTCATGTCTCTAGTGGAACGCCTCACTGAGAGCAGGCCCGGGAGTGCTGCTGGGGTCAACACTACAGATGACTCTCAGGGACCGGTCCTGGGGCCCAGTAACAAGCAGGGCTCAAAATGGAGATGCGGAGCGATTTTAACCTGTGACCTCTGAGGACAGGCTAAATCAGCACATGGCAACAGCATGGAGCCGTGGGAGCCACAAGTAGGTGGCATGGGCACAGGGCTTCCCAGAGGCCTAGGAGGCCTTGCCTGGTCTCTGGCTTGGTCTGGGTGCTAGGGATGCTGTCTTGATCGGGTGTAGACAGGTTTGTTTCTTCTGAGTACTTGCCGGCCAAGCCGATTTTTCTCTCCTCTCCTGCATCATCCCCTGCAGTTCCCAGGCCTGGGTTCACTTCCTGAGTCAAAGAAGTCTTGCAGTAGCAGGGATGGTCCACCTCTGCCGTTCTCACCCTGTGATGCCTGACTTCTGTCACACAGCAAATGCTCACCCAGCAAATCCACCCTGCCTCCCGTGTTGCCCCTGGCCTTCCTGTTTCCCACCATCCTTCAGAGCACAGCATAGGCATCTCTTACTCCAGGAAGCCCTCCTGCATGTGCCAGCACTTGTATGATTCGTTACCCTTCTCTCTGGCTATTGTAGCTGTTGGTCCTTTGACCCAACTTGCTAGTCTCTTAGCTGTGACCTGTAGAGGGTGAAGCTCCGTCCCACACTGGGATGATCAGGAGAAATCCACAGTGAGTTCAGGACACCAGGAAGGCCTCCATGCGGCCCCTCACTTCTCTATCAGATCAAACCATTGGTGATGGCTTTGTGCCCCTGGGTGCAGTTCCATGATAGGTATGCTGGTTAGTTTTGTCAACTTGGCACAGACTAGAGACACCTGGGGGAGGGAGCTGCAGCTAAGGAATTGTCCTCATCCAGACTGGCCTGTTGCCTTGACTGACGATGTAAAAGGGCCCAGCCCAGTGTGGGTGGCGCCACCCATGGCGGGTGGTCCTGGGTTGTCTAAGAAGAGAGGCAGTCAGCATGGTCTCTGCTTCAGCTCCTGCCCCTGGTCCCTGCCTTGGCTTTCCTCCAAATTGGATTTTGTCAGTGTTTTATCATAGCAACACAGGCAAACTAGGACACTAGGTTATATAGTACTGTAATGAAACGTTAACAGAGCCTGTTGTCTAGTGTTAGAGACAAAACACATACACACACACACACACACACACACACACACACACACACCCTTACACTCACACACCCACACACCAAGAAGTTGACATTGTGAAAGAAAAGCCTAGGGTTATAAAGACAAAGGCAGAAGCCATGGGGCTGCATGGGGGTAGAGTGTGTGTGTAAACAGAATGTACCAAAACCCCGAGGAGAGACACAGAGCTGGAAGCTGTAACTGAGTGTAAGGAACTGGGTACACAGATGTGGCAGGTCTAGCTGGGGCTAGATTGGCCAGCATTTGATGACCTGGGGTTGGGGTTCACTATCTAAGGCTTTAGGAGGTAAGCTGTGTGGTCTGATATGGAGGAAAGACTTCTGGAGCGGATGGTTCTGTCTCTGTTCTCTGTGGACAACCTGGCACCATTGCATAAAGCTGTTCTGTGCTGCCACCAGGCCGGGGAAGGTGCGGATGCTGAATCCCAAAGCATCACTCACTAGCCAGATTGCATAGCCTTTGGCCTGGTTGAACCCATGAGGGCCTCTGATCTGACTCCAGGCATTTGCTGAGTCCTAAAATTTCTTTGAATAGGTCTGATCCAATGCAGTCATTTGCTCCTGGGTGTCAGCGTAGCAAGGAGATGGATCCTTTTCCTCCTGGTGCTGGCTGTAAGGTATGCAGAAAATAAGCATCCCCGCCACCCCCCCCACACACACCAGTTCAGGAGGCGGGGCTTAGCGCAGGAGGCAGGGCTTAGTGGAGAAGGCGGGGCTCAGGACTAAGCTAGCTTTGAAGATCAAAGGTAACAGCTCAAAGTCACTGTGCCTCCGACTATAGGCACACAGTGGGAGGGGGGGCGGCAGGAAAAGCCCCTCGGGAGTCAGGACCCGCCTTCATGACCTAGTACATGAAGGGCAGGAGCCGAGTGTACCTAGAGCCAAATACTATTCTTTAGCGTGTCAGGCACAGTCCTTGGCACTTAATAAAGGCACTATTTCACAGAGTAGGGAACTGAGGCACTTTTGTTCAACCCAGCTGAGGTCGGGGTTGTCGGCATGGCAGCTTGGGCAGCCTGGCTCCACAGCCCATACGCTGCAGACTCTCTGGGCTCAGAAGCCTAACCACTGTGGGGCTTTGGAAAACGGAACCACCAGCAGGTAACATCCTGGCTGCTTTGCCCCTGGCAGCCCAGGAGATCATATGGCTTAGAAATCAGAAACTCCTTAGAGAGACGGGTGAGTCTCAACCTGCTGGACAGACGTGGATGATACTGACCCCTAAACTCGGCTTACAGGGCTCCGAGACAATGATTCTCAGGTTCCGAACCATCATTCAATGAGTCATGTAACAGTCGCTTCACTGAGCAGTTACTATAGTCTCTGACCCTTCAGGTGCCCCAGAAATAGACCAAATACCAAAAGAGAATCTTCCCTTCAGTAATGTGAGAGAGAAGAGAAAGTACATTAAAAACACAACGATTTAACTAAAAACTGTGATATGAGCTTTGATGGGCTATGATATCATATTTCGGAAAGGATGACCTAGTCATTTTGGAAATGAGATTCCTTAAGCTTGAGATCTTTAAATGGTTACATGGAAATCTAAGGTTCTACTGGAAGCTATTTCCAGTTATCTAAGCCTTTAAGTTGAATTTGAATTAAATATATATGTAAAAATATAGTTCAGATATGCAGCCTCCCTCGGGATCTTCAGGGAATTGGTTCCAGGACCCCCTGCAGATAGCAGACATGCAGATGCCGGTCCCTGGCGCAGAGAGACTCAGTATTTGCATATATCTTCCACATACTCTGCCTTATGCTCTAAAGTCTCAAGACGCCTCGTCCCACAATGCAATGCAGATGCTATGTAAATAGGCGCTGTGCTTATTGTTTAGGGAAAATGGCACAGAAAAGTCTATATATGTTTAGTACAGAAGCGACTGGTTTTTTTTTTTCTCTCCCCCCCCCCCCCCCCCCGAGTGTTTTTGTTCAGTGGTTTGTTGAAATCACAGACTTAGAGCCCATGAGCCTGCAGGGCTGACTGTGTGCATGAGCGCATGCATGGGTTTGCGTAGACGAGTGAAAGGACCCTAACGTGGGGCTACAGGGATGGCTTGGCACTCTAGGAGAGGAGCCAGGTTCGGTTCCCAGCACCCACACAGCAGCTCACAATCAAATGTGGTTTGGGGCGGGGACCTGACACCCTCTTCTGGCGTCTGCAGGCACTGTATGCACGTGGTGCCCCATGCAGGCAAACACGCACACGCACAAAGCAGAAATCAGTAAGTCTTTTGAACAAGCCCGGCAGCGGCGGCACACGGCTTTAATCCCAGCGCTCAGGAGGCAGAGGCAGGTGGGTCTCTGAGCCTGGTCTACAGAGTGAGTTCCAGGATAGCCAGGGCTACACAGGGAAAAACCTAAAAACAACAACAAAAAACATCTAAAAAATCTAAATACAACAACAAAAAAAAACCCCAAACAAACAGAAGATAGTAACAACAACAACAACAAAACATTGTGTACTCAGGGTGCTGTGTAGCACACTGGAAGATGGCTGCTCACCCAGGTACTGAGACGTCAGATACTGTTCTGTATGTACCTGAGGACCCACGGGCAGAGGAATTTCACTCTCTGAAATGTGTCCCCTCGTTGGCAAAGATATGGGTAATATCCGTTTTAATCTTACTTCTTAAGAATTCACGTGTGAGACAACTTTAACTGGACTCACCGCAATGCGCCGTTGAGCCAGGACTTTCTAGTGCCTGTAGGTGACAGAATGTACAGACCCATATGAGTATGGAGCCGGTGCCAGGCTTCAGGGCTCATCGGTAGGCTCTAGGGTCAGGTTGCTGCTGGCATTGAGCAGCGTGCTGTGTTCAGGACGCATTTCTATGGCAGGCAGATGGTGTGCTCTCGGGCTAACACAGGGTCTGCTTCATATGCATCTATGGCTACCCCGGTAGGATACCAACGGAAGATAAAATAAGTTTCCTAGCAAGGCGACTATGGTTGGTAATAACGTATCGCCTATTCTGAAGGAGCTGAGAGGATTGTTGACGTTCTTACCATAAAGACAGAATAAAGGCTAGATGGGGCAGGCATGCCAGGTCCTCTGACTTGGCACACATGTATCCAGACAGCACGTGCTACACCATACATAGTTACAATATTTGTCCATTCAAAAGTAAAAGTAAGAGAAAAGAGAAATCAGTTTTGAAAACGTTCACATTGGTTCAAAGGTCCTGGAGACCTTGCCTGGCCTCCTCTCAGGCAATCTTAGCCCTTGTCTACTTTTCCTCAGCATTCCAGACGCCCTTCATAACCTCCCAGAGTCTTGCTGTGTAGTTCAGGCTGACCTTGTACTTGCTATATAGCCCAGGTTCTTCAGCTCACGATCTCCCCTCGGCTTCCCAACTGCTGGCATTACAGGCTACAGCATCATACCTGGCTGGCCTGGGGCTCCCTCGCAGCCCCCACCCCTTCTCCTGGGGGATTGGTACAGCCTGTTCTAGACTGAGACAGAATCAGGTCCCCAGACCCAGTGGGAAGGCTCCCCTCTCCCCCAGGCCGCAGGTGCACAGCGAGGATCTGCACTCACCCTTCTTGGTGGCCTCAAAGCTGTCATGGAAGTGAATCCTCTGGATGTCATAAGTGAGAGTCGTGTTGGGCAGCAGAGTCCTGTTCCTGTTGATGATGTTGGCAGAAAATCGAAAGGCATGCTCCTCGGCGTTCATGACCTGGGCGTTGGGGCCGTCTGCATACTCAAAGATTCCTCCTGTGAGAGATGAGAGAGCTGTGTGTGGGAGGAGGGACGGAGCTGGAGCAAGGATGCTTCACTCAGGTCTTCTAGACAAGGTCCTCCCACCCCCAGTGTTCAGTAAGATCCTGGATAATTTCCATGTTCAAAAATTATACATTTTACCCAACTAGCAAATTCCTGCTAACAAAATCTGACAGGCCAAAATAAGATTACCAACTTAAGACTGCTATGAAAATTCTTAATAGAGTTCTGGCAAGTAGAGTCTACCAGAATATTACAAGGCTAACATACCATGACCACACAGTTTTATTTCAGGAATGCAAGACCAGCTCAATAGAAAGGAATCCATGAATACCATTCCACCATATCAACAGTTCAAAGGAGATGAAAATACGATCGGCTCACAAAATTCAGGAAGGCGTCTGAAGAAAGTCAGTGTCTATGAAGGATACCATAAAGAACGCTTAATAAGACAGTGGCAGGAAAGACACTTCCTTCAAGCGGCTTTAGCTCACATTGTTCTTAGCACCACACTAACTAATACCTAATGAAACGTTAGAGGTGTTCTTGTCAAAGGAAAAAAGAAAAAAAAAGTGTTGGCGAAGATTCACACCATGCCACTAACCAGCAAAAAAACGAGATAAAGTGAACTATGAGGCAGGACTCGGCAAAGGTGCAGGTTCTTATTTGCACATGACATAAACGCTAACGTATTGTGATTGTATTCACTCCCCATCACCACCTCTCATCTCCCTCCCTCTCCTTCCCAGCTAGCCCTCTATTTTCATGATTCTTTTTTTCTCGTTGTGTGTATGTACAGGTCCTGTGCAGGTGGTCACAGTTGCTGTATGTTCACGATTGCAATGGCCACGCCACAGCCCCGAGTCAGCAAGTCACCACACTGCTTTCCACCCTCCGGCCCTTATGGTTCTCCCACCTCCTGCAGTGTTCCCCAGACCTCAAAGTGGGTAACGTGGACGTCTCTGGGGGCTGAATGCTCAACCGTCACGAATCAGCATAGAGCCCGCAGAGGCTTTTCTTCTGCCTCACACTGCACTAAGTTACGGGTATAAACAGGAAAAGTTTAGAAGGCGGCTTAACGGCATGATCATTTATCAAATCATCAGTAGTAGGCTTCCTCTGTAAGGTCTGTGATAACCCTAGCTGTAGGCTTTTGCGCAGGTTTATACAGCACCAGGCATACAGTCCCTCCCATGGAGCAGGCCTCAGATCCAATCAGGAATTGGTTGGTTGCCCAATGCTAGCTGCTATTGCACCATTGGATGGAATGGACCAAAACAAAAACAAACAATCAAGCAAGCAATCCCCAACCACAAAGATAGGTAAGAGCAGCTGTTAGGGAGAGCTAGATAACTAGCTAGCACTTTTTTTTTTCTTTTCCAGTTTTTGTTTTGTTTTGAGACAGGGTTTCTCTGAAGCCCTGGCTGTCCTGGAACTCACTCTGTAGATGGGGCTGGCCTCCAACTCAGAGATCTGCCTGTCTGTGACTCCCAAGTGCTGGGATTAAAGGCATGTGACACCACGCCCCACTAATTAGCACATTTTAATAGCGCCTCTTTATATCAATGAGAACTCACAGGGAAACAAAACAAACAGCAAAAGGTTCCCCTCGACCGCCTCTGCACAAATATTAAGCAACAAATAACAGCCCAAGTACAAACATATGATGATTTTACAAATTATGAAAACAAATGAAGTACCTTAAGCAACAGTGATAACTAAACCAAGGGTGTTAGCGCACGCCTTTGATCCCAGCACTCAGGAGGCAGAGGCAGGTGGATCTCTGTGAGTTTCAGGAACGCCAGAGCTACACAGTGATACCCTGGTAAGGGGCGACGAGGCAGAGAGAAATAGAGAGACACATACATAGCCCTAACGCTGCTACTCCTTGGAAAGTAAAGGTTCAAGTCTCAGTTTTCTCCAAAGACACTTTTCAGTTTAATTCAACCCCAATCACAACCACAAAAAGATTTTTCTTCTACTTGGAAAAATGACTCTAAAATGTGTGAGCTAAACATTAGATAATGGCTGAAAAAATGTCTTTACAGGAATGATGAAAGGTGACTTGTATTAACAGATTTTAAAATATATCATTAAGCCAAAATAATTAAAACCATGTTGTAATAGCGTCTGAAAACAAGGAAGATCAAGAGAATGAGATAAAAAGCCTTAGAAAGAGGCTCAGGCAGAGACAAGTATCTAAAACATGAATGAGAAGGAAGTTTCACAGCAGCAAAAGAATGAATTATTCATTAATTGTGTCTTGATAATTATTCTATTATTTGGGATTTCAAGTCCCCTCACCCTTTTGGTACAAGGCTTGAACCCATGGTTTCACACACACTAGACAAATGTTCTACCACTGAGTTACATGCCTGGTTCTTTAGATTTCAACCTTAATACATTCCAGATGAATTAAAGAGTAACAAGAAAACAGAAAGGGGGAAAAATAACACTGAATAATTAATTGCCAAATGTAGAGGGTGCGGGTGAATAGCAATAGAATATCAGAGTGGAAGAAACCTGTCTAAGAATTTCAATGAAGTCGGAAAATGCTGGAGAAAGACTGCTAACTCTGAGGAAGTGAGATTAGACTTCTACACACCAAAATCACCAAGAACAACTTTGGCAAGAAGCTAACTAGAAAAAAAAAATCTGTAGCATAGACAGCAGCATGAAAGTTAATGTTATAAAAAGCACTTAAAACAAACAAACAAACAAAAAGCAAAAACCAACCAAACAAACAAACAAAAACCCCAAAACCTCATACCCCAGCCTAAGCAGGTGCAAAGGAAAAGTATGGGTTTTCCATTGACAAAAAAATGCAAACAAGCTATCATTCGATCTAGAAATACCCAACTAGGGGACAGTAAGCCATGTATATCTGTGGAACTATAAACATTTGAAGATATGACTCCTCATTGGGGAAACTTCTACTTGGAACAGATGGTGACCATTACGGAAAACCATAACCAACCAGAACACAGAGTTGTGGAGCTCAGCTGCAACGGACCCAACCTCGCTCAACACCTGCACCCAGAGCTCAGGGATCATTGGAGAAGAGGGCACCGAAAGAGCCAGAGGACCAGAAGCTTATGTCTCTGAGAAATGTCAGAGAAGCTGTACCCAAGAAGTCTCACCAACATGGCTGCTTGAACAAGACTCTGAGCAAGCTTGTTGCTTTGTCAGACATGTTAACATGGAAGAAGAAGATCTCACCAGGCCCCAACCCAGGACAAGAACCACAGGCAATTAAGGGATGCTGAGAACACGAGAAATAGTCTTGCCACAGAAGGGTACACAGATTGGTTACTCAGTGCCAAATGGCAGCCCTGAAAACATACACATATATTACATGGACTAAGCAGGTTGTATTTCTGGATTTAGGAATTTGTGTGTGTGCGTGCGTGCGTGTGTGTGTGTGTGTGTGTGTGTATAACAACAATTAAAGATAAAAAAGAGACCATGATTTTGAGGAATAACAAACAAAGTACATGGGAGGAATGGAGGGAGGAAAGAAAATGGGGGAGATGATATAATCATAATTCCCCCAAGTTATTTTTAAAGTGTTTTCTTAGACAGGGTTTCTCTGTGTGGCCATGGCTGTCCTGGAAGTTGCTTTGTGGATCAGGCTGGCCTTGAACTCAGAGATCCGTCTGCCTCTGCCTCTGCCTCCTGAGTGTTGAGACTAGAGGTGTGCACCACCACGTGCGCGACTTTTAAAAAATCGTTGCAGTGCGGAAAATGCACGTGATGTGTCTGTTGCTGCAGTTTTGAGGAGATGCAGGAAAGAGAGAAGAGGGGGCTAGAGCCACTGGGTACGGGGAACCACTGCTCATTCAATACTGTCATGTGGTTATGGATAAGCCTTTATTCCTTCAGTAATGAGCTTTCTTGAGATATTACTTGTGTTCTTCAAAACTGACCTGTTTTGTGTACATGGGTGGTGGTTTCGAGTAAGCTATAAAGTCATGTGAGCATACCACAACCCAATTTTGGCACTCCTCCATCATCCAATAATACATCCTGCAGCCATTTCACTGTTTGCACCAGTAGCCCCAGGAAGCCATTTCATTTGCTTTTTTGTCTCCAAATATTTTTTTTTCCTAAATGTTTCATACAAACATAATCACATAGTGGATGTTCTTCTGGGTCTGAAGGAGATGACTCTTGTGCCCAGTGTACTCGGTGTTTGCCGATATGTAGCATGGGTCAGTACCTCGTTCTGTTTAGCTAGCATTACTGTGCATCGATGTGCCGCATCTCACCTATCCATCTGCCAGCTGATGGGCATTTGGGTTGTTTCCATTATTTGGGAAAGCTCAAAGAAAAGAAAACGTGGCTTCCAGTTTCTGGTCTGCCGTATGAAAAGCTTGGAAGTCTTCACTCTAGCTAACAAACCAACAACTTTTCTTGAGTCTGTAAGCATGAAGCCACAAATCCACCATTCCCCCCCCCCCAAAAAAAAAAAAAAAACTGGCTAGAGAGCCCAGAGAACAGAAGAATCCCAGTATACTGGAACCCTTAATGGGAAACACAGGCTTATGTGCTTCAGTACTTGGTCCCCAGTTGGGGGCGCTGTTTTGGGAGGCTGTGGAATCTTTTGGATATAGGATCTAGCTGTCAGACATAAAACCATGGGGTAGGGAGCTGGGCTAGAGAGATGGCTCAGAGGTTAAGGGCATTGGCTGCTCTTCCAGAGGTCCCAAGTTTAATTCCCAGTGACCACATGGAGGCTCGTAAGTATCTAGAATGAGATCTGGTGCCCTCTTCTGGCGTGCAGGCACACGTGTAGGCAAAACATTGTATACAAAATAAATAAATAAATCTTATTTAAAACAAGACAAAACAAAAAACATAGGGACAGGGCAGGAAGGTTATAGCTAGCCCCATTTCCAGCCTGAGGTCTTCTTAGCATCCAGGTTCCTGACCTGACCCAGAGGTATAACAAGCCATCTGCTGCTTCTGACTGCCGAAGAGAGAGTTCCAGGTGC